TTCATTAAGTATAACATAAGATTTTGTGGTATCCACTTGTGTAAATATTTTAAATTGAAGATCGAATTTATTCATTGTATTCATATAGGGTCAAGGAGTGTAGTTATAAAAAATCATCAAAATCGGAGTTAAAATAACCGTCAAATCGTGATTTTTCGTTTATAACCGTTGAAAAGCTTTGTCCCGTTACTTGATCTCTGAATGTTTTTTTTTTGTGATTTTTTGCTGATGTGATCTCCAAGCATATACAAACAATTTTGACGGTTTGGATCGTTGAAATTAGTTTTGGAGAATTCGTATGCCATCAATCAAGTTCCGTGTGTGTGTGTGTATATAAATATTTATTAAGTAGATTTAAATCTATTTATTTTGTACGTATAAATTATAATTGACTGGTAAACGGAATAGTACATACATCACGTGTCACGTGTGTCATTATAAAAATAGTGAGATATGTCATGACAGTCATGTGTGTGATAAAAAGTTAATAACTTTAAAAAAAAAAAAAAAATTTCTCACCACTTCTATTAATTTTCATTTTTCCCTCTCTTTTTTGTTTCCTTTTCAACTTTTTCTTATCATTTTCACTTTTCCCTAATTCCCTCACTTTTTTGTTTCATTTTCAACTTTTCTTAACATTTTCATTTTCCCTCCATTTTTTTTTTCAAAAAGGGCGGCAAGTTGGCAACGGCAAGAAATTGATTATTGAAATTTGAATGGAAAGAAATCACATCAAATTTCAATGGATGCAAAATCATGCAATGCATCATGCATATTAAATTATTAATTAATAATTATTATAGTTTTTATAAAATTTAATATATATATATATATATAATTATTATAGATAGACTTAATATTTTGGGGGTATAATTATTATAGCATATATAATTATTATAATTATTATAAATTTTATAGTTAATTTAATATATATATATATATATTTATTATAATTTTTAGGGGTATAAAATTGTAAAATTAATGTGTATAATTATTATAGTATTTTTTTAGGGTTATAAAATTATAAAAATAATATTCTGCTTATCGTGTATCGTGTTACCCACGTGTATACCCGAACCAACCCGTTATCTTAACAGGTGCTTATCGGGTTACTCGATAACGACCCGATTCGTTATCGTGTCGACCCAAACACCTGTTAATTTCGTGTCGTGTCGTGTCGGGTTATCGGGTCGTGTCAGAAATTGCCAGGCCTAATTGGAGGTAATGCATAGATACTCCACATTTCCTGCACTTTTTGTTTCAATGTGGTATCCATTTAGACGTATGTCTTTGAAACTCAACAAATTTCGAGTAGATCGAGTAGCATACAATGCATTATGTATGGACAATATTGTTCCATTTGGTAACATAATCTGGGCTTGCCCTGAACCTTGAATTACATCTGAAGGTCCTAATATTGTTGTTACCCCTACTCTTGTAAGTTTTAAGCTTGAGAAATACTTTCGATCACGAAGTATTGTATGTGTGGTTGCACTGTCTGCAAGACAAATATCTCCGCCATTTCTCATGTTCTGAGAATAACCACAATTTTTATCCATGCTCTCTGAGTAAGAGAATCAGAGTTAAAAGCAAGTTATAACAAGAAATTTACATGCTACTTTTATTGAATCTGAAAATACTACAAGTTCAGCATAATAAAAGTACATTAATGATTCAATCAGACCGGTATACTTCATTTCCCCTTTCCACAATATAGTCTGAAACATCTAGATGAGTTGTGTTCAACTGCCCTGATAAGTCAAACACTGGATCAGGTATATCCATTGGTCTAGCCTGGTCGAGAAAGTTAGTCTCGACACCCTTCTCCTTGAGGGAGGCTTGATACAGATCCACTAGATGTTTTGGGGTACGACAAGTACGCGCCCAATGCCCATTGCCACCACACCTATGGCAGGCTCCTTCAGAGTTTCTATGAGCATTGTTCATATGAGCTTTGCCTTTGTGGCGATTCACATTTTTGAAGTTCGGGCCTGAATTATTCCTGGAAACCTGGTTATGAAACTGAACTCCATGGTTCTTGCCTTTCCTATTCCATCGACCTCGCTTGTGGCCACGTCCTCGTTTATGATTATCACCATCAGAGATGTGGCGTTCACTCCGAGGGAAGCAGCATTCACTTCTGAGAATGGTGCAGATCCAGTAGGTCGGGAATGATGGTTTTTCATCAGGAGCTCATCATTCTGTTCAGCTACTAAAAGCACATATATCAGCTGGTTGTACTCAGTGTAGCCTCGCGTTCTATACTGCTGCTGCAGGAGCACGTTGGAGACATGAAATGTGCCGAGAGTCTTTTCCAGCATATGCTTCTCAGTAATAATATCCCCACAGAGCTTCATCTGAGAGGTAATTCTGAACAATGCAGAATTGTATTCTGCCACTGACTTGAAGTCTTGAATCCTAAGATGAGTCCACTCATAGCGGGCCCTTGGAAGAATCACCGTTGTCTGGTGATTGTATCTGTTTCTCAAGGCATTCCAGAGAGCTAACGGATCTTCAACCGCTAAGTACTCGCTCTTTAGCGCCTCATCAAGATGGCGGCGAATGAAAATCATGGCATTTGCCCGATTTTGAGAGGATGAGTTGCTCTATTCCTTGATGGTATCTCCAAGATTCCCTGCTTCCAGATGGATCTTGGTATCCAGTACCCAGGTCAAGTAATTCTTCCCGGTAATATCCAGGGCAGCAAATTCAAACTTCGCCAAGTTCGCCATTTTCTTTTCTGAAAGAAAATGAGATGTGTAAGAACTTGCAATAATATGTATTCCTGGAGGAATATGATGTTAGAACTTCTGGTTCTTACAAATTTTTCATTTTGATCTTCAGGCCACAATGATAAGCACTCGAAACTTCTGGCTCGAGATTTTCAGAGTGAATGAGAAGGGCGATTGTACCGCACCATTCTCATTGGATGAATGTAATATAGAATGGGCGATTATTCTGCACCACTCAAGTAACAAGAAATTTAAATATGCAGAGCAGCGTGGACGATTATACCGCACCACATAAAATTGTAATGAAATTAAACAGCAGGTAAATTCGAATATGCAGGGTAGGGTGTGCGATTATACCGCTCCACCTAAAAATTACAGTAAAATTAAATCTGCAGTCCAAGATAGGCGATGATACCGCACCGTCTTGGATCGCAATAAGATTAAATTTGCAGTTCAAGATGGACGATTGTACCGCACCATCTTGGATTGCAGTAGAATTAACACAAATAAATACTGGGTTAGTAATCAATCTCTACACCAAACAAGTAATCAAAGATGTATTTAACCGTTAGTTGGAGAACTAAGAGCAGGCATGGAGCAAACAACTCGTCGCGAGGGTACACGGCGCAGTTGAGGCAGAGGAAGAAGATGAACAGTAAAAACCTTAAAGGAAACATTTTTTTTTTCTTTCTTTCGTTCGTTCGGCGAAGAGAGATGAGAGAATAATTATATTTAGAGACTTGTGCTGATAACGTGTTATAAAAGGGTTAAAATTTGAGAGATAACCTTTTAAGTAGTAGGTGCAAGGTAAATGTAAAATGCCACACAAAAACTATAGCACAGACAGATAATAAATAAAAGGCAGAGGAATAGATGATGTTACTGATATTTCTCTCTTGTTTTTCTTCTTCTTCTTCTATTTTCTATTACATGCGGAGTGCTTTATTTATAGAGCAACTCCAAACTAATGCAGTTAATGCATCTTGAAATTTAAAACGCATCCTCTGACATTACAATTCATTTTCCACTTTCATTCAGCATGGGCATCGAAAACTTTGCCCATGCAGAAGACTTTTGCTTTGTGGGCATTCATTGCCAACAGACATTGAGACTTTTCAACAAAGTTATTTTTCACACTTTAGTTTTGTTTTTATTGCAATTTTTTCTTGTTTGAAGGTATTTTCAGGGTTGTATGTATATAATCAGCTTTAATATTGGAGAGTGATTTTAACAGCATTTTTACACGCACCATTTTTTCAATTTGTTCAATCTAATTACTAAGAAATCTAAAATATTTGAATTGGCTCGCATATATTCTGAATTGAGAATCTATTAAAAATTTCCACAATCATGTCATTACTTGTACAACTTGACTAATTGATTCGAATTCTTCATTTAGTACTAGTGGAACAAGTTTTTTTCACTTGTCAAAATGGAGATACCGTGATTGATATTAAACCAACCCGTTTGCTATTGGTGTTTGTGAGATTTAGCATATATAATTTGTGTCAAACAATGAGTAAAAAAAATAAAAACAATGAGTACTCAAAGCATGCTAACTCTTGTAAGTGACCCTCTACCACAGTAGAAGAAAGAAATGTTGCCCTTGCATTACGGTGTGGGTTCGAACCTCGTCGGTTCTCTAATCGAACAAATCTATTGTTTGACAAAAAAAAAAAAAAACATGCTAACTCTTGTAGATGGCATTTTACTGTAATTACCCTGGGGACCAATTCTGATTGGTCAATAAAAATATATTTCAATGCGATTTCTTTTTTATTTTTCCTTTGTTTAGACAATCTATCATGATAAGTAAAGAGGGGTAGAGTCACTTTGTGTTGATTATTTTCTAAATGTAAGTTTTCTTCTTCTGCATGTGAAAAAGGAATAAATTAATTAATCAAATTCCGGGAGGCTTCATGAAGTGCTTCTTTAGGAGTTAAACTTCCATTTGTCCATATTTCGAGAAAAAGTATCTCTTATTTTTTTCATTCCCATTCCATGTGTTTGGGCAGAGTACTAGTGGGCCCAAGAGGCCGCAGAGGTTATAGATATGTTGCCCAATGATAGGCCCAACAGGCCTACTGTTTGTGTCTTGGCAGGCCCATTGAATAAATCTTGTTAATAATTTGTAGGCCCACAAACAAAAAACCCAAACAAAATATGGAATCCCACAAGAAAAAGGTGCCAAAATACACGTGTCACGCGCTTCCAAACTGCACCAGGACTCTATATATATGATTCCACGCGGAGGCGAAGACCAGATTATCAAAACGCGTAAAAGCTAGAAGAACCATTTGGAGGCTGATCGATTTCTTGCGATCCTCTCATCGGCGCCGACGCTCTCGTATCGATTTCCTGTTAATCGATCTCGATTCCTCTTGCCGGTAAGGCCTTCCGATACCTGTGAATTTCTTGCGGGTTCCCACAGAAATCGAGGTTCTAGGGTTTCTGTTATTCGCCGATTTGCCATCTGATTGATGTTCTTTGATCTGTGCGTCTGTGTTCATTTGTAATTGAAGTTTTTGTGAATTGTATTCTTTGTCTGTCTGTGTTGATTGAATTGGGGTCTGCAAGGAAAAAAAGGCTGAATTTTTTTTTTTTTGGGATTGAGGATTGGTTAGGGTTGGAATAAAATTTGAATTTGATAAAGTTGAAAGTGATTTTGACTTTTTGGGAATTCAGGGATTTGAAATTTCTAGGGGTTATTGTTTTTTGATTTCAATTGTTGAGTTTGACCACTGATTAAGAAGAGCTGTGCTTGTTAATCATATGGCGACAGGGCGAGTTGATGTTTTGAGGAGGAGTGATTCTTATAATTACTCGAAAAGAGAATTTGAGTATTATAGGAATGGGGTTTCTCGTGGTGATGTAGGTCATGGTCGCAGTGATGAACTCAAACATAGGAATGGATTCCATCAATCTTCCAATGTGCGCGATTCACGGGGATATGGACGGCTTCCAAATGCCCCAGAGCCATTGGTTAAGAATGGCAAAACCCGAAGGAGTGAAGATGCGGCTCAGTTACATGCCGAGAAGAAAGAGTTTGGCGATGATGTCAAACATAGGAATGGACTCCAGCGTTCTTCCAAAATGTGTGATTCACGAGGATCTGAACCGATGCTTCCAAATGCCCCAGAACTAGTGGTTAAGAATTGTAAAACCCGAAGGAGTGAGGATGCTTATCAATCACCTCCTGAGAAGAAGAGGAAGTTTTCTCCTATTATATGGGACAAAGAAGAGAAGGAAGCGAGAGTCTCATCGAAGAATAGAGTTGTTCCCGTTATTCCTTTGCCCTCCCCTCATCCAGATGTAGCAAGATTACCTGCTATTGCTAAGGTTGAGGATGTTGTTTCTGTTGGAGTTCTTTCCAAGTCTCCGGCTAGAGTGGTGGAGTCTCTGGAAGCGGAGTTTTCCGAAATTTCTGATGTTTCTCAATTTGAGGCACCAGCCGATCTCTCTGCACCACTACATCCTCAGAAGGTTGGGGAAGATGAGCAGGTGCAAAAGAACAAGGAAGACAAAGAATTTTTCTATCAACGTGACATCTCATTGTCAAAATGGTCATCCGATAGTGATTCCCCAAGGGATATCTCTGATGACAGCTCGCCTGAAAGTGGGGAGATTCGAATAGAAAGCTCCAGGTTGAGTCGGGCTAGAACTTCTGGCTCTGACAAAGAAGACAGCTTTGAAAAGCCTGGCAGTGGAGATACACTTTATGGAGACGAGTTCTGTGATGATGCGCATATGGATGCTGATAATTATGATGGGAATGCTGAAGATAGCCAGTTCTACTCTGATTCAGAGGATGATTCTGATCTTTCTCAGATTGAAGAGCCAGAAGTGCCTACACAAAAAAGTATAAACATGCTTCAAGGTTGCAGAAGTGTGTTTGAGTATGAAAGGCTCAACCATATAAGTGAAGGCACTTATGGTGTTGTCTTTAGAGCCAGAGATAAAAAGACCGGAGAAATTGTCGCATTGAAGAAGATGAAGATGGATGTGGATAAGGGATGTGATGGTTTCCCTATGTCGGCATTGAGAGAAATAAACATTCTCTTGTCTTTTAATCACCCTTCTATTGTTGGTGTTAAGGAAGTTGTTATGGATGACTTTGATGGTGTTTATATGGTTATGGAGCATATGGACCATGACTTGAAGGGGCTAATGGAGTCGATGAAGCAGCCATTTAGTATTGGCGAAGTTAAGTACTTGATGAAACAACTTTTGGAGGGTGTAGAGTATCTTCATGACAATTGGATCCTTCACAGAGATCTGAAAACATCAAATATTCTATTGAATAGCGAGGGTGAGTTGAAAATATGCGACTTTGGGTTGTCACGACAATATGGGAGTCCACTAAAGCCATATACTTCTTTAGTTGTCACTTTGTGGTACCGGGCACCTGAAATTCTATTAGGCGCAAAACAGTACTCTACAGCAATTGATTTGTGGTCAGTAGGTTGCATAATGGCTGAATTGTTGGCGAAGGCACCTCTCTTTAGCGGGAAAGATGAAATTGAGCAGCTGGACAAGATCTTCAAAACTCTTGGTACACCAGATGAGAAAAGTGGTTTGTCCAAATTGCCAGGCTTCAAAGCTAATTTTGTTAAGCAACCGTAAGTTTCTTTTTTCCATTTTAATTTTAGTGAATGCAAGTTCATTCCTTCCTGCTGATTTTTGTGGTTACTTGTTTTCACTGTTTAATATCTTTCTAATAGTTTCTGAAACTCTTTCAGGTACAATCTTCTGCGCAAGAAATTTCCTGCTGCATCTTTCACTGGATCATGCCCAGTGCTCTCTGAATCTGGGTTTGATTTGCTGAAGCGGCTCTTATGTTATAACCCTGCAGAGCGAATAACAGCGAAGGATGCCCTCAACCATAACTGGTTTCGCGAGTCTCCTGAACCAAGAAGGGATTTCAAGCCAATTACTCCTGATCGACATGTTCAAGACCGGCACCTTAACAGCAGGCGGCGTGAGAAAATTTTACAGCAATAATCATCTTAGCCTGTTCTTTTTGCAGTTCTTTATATTTTGCTAACCTGATGGCAGCTAAAAAGTACAACAAAGACCTCGACTGTAGGGTCCTTTAGGATAGCTGGAGCAAAGGAGTTGCAAGGTGTGTCAGTCGGCACTAATGGTTTATCCTGTTAAGAGCAGCTTAATAGTGGTGCGCAGTCTTCCTATATGAAGGTGTGGCAAAATGTTGAGAAGAAAAGAGAACTTATTGTTTTTTTTCCACATTCTTGAACCTGTGTATATATATGTTCACATTGGAATGATATTATTTTTATCAATGTCCTCTTCATTATTTGTAAGTTAGAACCTTTTGCTTTCACTTTATTCACGCTTAAAACTTTGTTTGCAAGTGATTCTGGGCTTTAAAAGAATGGGAGGGTGCATTATTCGCTTTTCACACTTGGAGACTGGAAGTTCCGCAATCGTAAGTTATTTTACCACACACAGGGTCTTTTGAGGTGTATCCAGTCATATGCATTGCTGGTTCATGTATTGAGGTCTGTTCAGTCTTCCATGTTTTCCTAAATCATGATGCTCCCTCCAATGCTTAGCTTATGGTTATGCTATGTTAGGCCAGTGTGTTAATACTTCATGTGGCAAATCCTCGATTGATAATTTGTTGGAAATGTTTCCTTTTTTGTCAAGTTCATAGTAAACGAGGCATTATATTGGTTTATTTTTATTACCCAAATGCAAGTTCTGTCCAGACCACTTCTAATACACATAAAATAAACAAGATATAGTGTGTGCACTATAAGTTGACAGTGTTGCCAGTCTCTTGAGTTCTATTGATACGTGCAGTGGTATTCAGTTCCTCGTCGGGTTCAATTGCTTCTGCATTCTGTGGATGTTTTTTGGTTGAGGTTTTAAGTCATAGATCCAGGAGCTGCAATGTGGTTCAAACTTATATTATATTTTTCTCTGTCTTGTTGTAATTCCTTTTTGTCTTCTCCTTCATCTGCCTATTACTTCATTTGATTAATTTTTGAGATGTAGCTTCCCATGTGCATTATTCGGTTGGGAATTAGCTTGCTATGGCAATGGAGAATTTGCTTGCCTGCAGCTAGATCACTCAGCTGGTAAGGGTTTTGCATTTTTCCTTATCGATTTGTGAATCTAGGTGCAGCTGTTATATTTTTTCGCCATGTGTAGTGTGCATAGGATATCTACAGTTTGTAGTGTACATCAATCTTATGCCGAATCAGTAGAAAATTGTGATGCTGTAGAGTTTTTGTTAATGAGTATTTTTAAAATATCAATTGCTAGCATGTCTTCTCAGCTTGCAATTATTTGGAACGAGAAATGTTCGCAATATGCTGGTTGGATATCACATCGTGTCCCCAGTGGAAATAGTTGAAATTTTAAAAAATTTAGCTCTGGTTTTCTGAAGTTGAGAGAATGCTGGGGACTCAGAAGTGTAATGGAAGATGTAGAATGATTTTAAAAAATGAAGAAAATAAAGATATAATAAGTAAGCCTTAATTTTCTGAAATCGTGTCTAGTTAGAAGGTATGCTGATTGAATTGGTATCGTCACAATGTCGGATGATATGAATTCATGTCATGTATATATGCCCTATGAGCTCAATGTTGTGCAAAATGAGTTGTCTGAAATTTACATGCCAGGCCTTACTCATGTCCTGTGCTTTCATTAGCAGCTTTATCAGCCACTGTGGGAGCCATTTTTTTTGTACAGACAGGATAATATCAAAGCTTTATACCGAGCATCAGAGGGAAAGTTGCGTAACGTTGCTTATGATATTCATGTTTTTCTTTTCGTTTGTTACTCTTTAGAATAACGAAGATCCGGTTTGGTACTTTCACGTCTTCTTTTTCTCTGAACCCCTTTTATGCAGGATGCATATGTAACTTTTACCCATGCAAAGAGTTACCGTGATGGATATATTCTCTTCTCCGCATTTGTGAAGTCACAGTAAGATTTTTGAAAGGTAATCATGTCAAAATTCTGTAATTCATCGTGCGAATCGCGGCAGTATGTAAGTATCATTTGTAATGCAGATTACTTAATACGAAAGCCGCAGTAGATTTCTTTTTTCTTCGATAATTCTAGCCGAACATGAATGATTTTTTTCGTATATTTCACTGGGTGTTGTAAATGCTTGTGCTTGACGAAACAGAAAGCAGCAGAAGTCTTAACAGGTTGAGCTGCGACTGTCTCAAAAGCACAGCAGAAATCATCGGAACCCCGAACATAAATCATCGAGTCGTGAACGTTATCGTCTTCCCAAGCACGAAAGGAGCTAGTGTCACCTCAAAGAAGCGGATAGTGCTAACGAGCCCCCGACCAATCGTCCGTCCATTGGGTAATTCCACTAGGGTTGCGTGTAGGTCACTGAAAACAATAGCAAACTTTGTTACACTCCAAAATCAAAACACAATGGGCGAGAGGGATGATGAAGGGTAAACAGTAGGAGGAATGACGAGTGTTCGAAACAAAAAAGTTCGGAAAAACAAAGTGGTTGTTAGACGGCCCTTTATTCGGTTTCTTGTATGGTAAATAATGAAATCATTTAATAAAGTTACAGAGCATGAGGAAGTTGTAAGTGGACACACCAAAAAGGTCTTTTCTGATAGAGGGACATGTATGAAGCCAATTGTGTATTTGTAGGCATTAGAACGTAGTCAACTGCTTCAAGATCACATTATGAGTAGAAATCTCCCGAGGTTCCCGGAACTGTTGGTGATGCCCAAGTTTCCGGAGCTGTTATAGATTCTCGATTGCAACATATTGCTGGAGTTGCAACAAGCATAACTAAGACCATCTTCAAAGAAGATGTCAAATTTTGACAGCTTATGTGGCATTGATATTTTTCAAAATTTTGTTCTTCAACCGATATGTCAAATTAAATTATAATTTTATTATTTTATAAAATAATTATTAAACTAATTAAAATTTAATAAAGGATATTTAAAGTTTAATCAATAATCTGTTTACTTTCATTTATTAAAAAGAAGAAAAAAGTAGGATAATTGCATTGGTCAACTCAACATTAATTATAATAAATGATTAAACTAATTAAAATTAATAAAATACATTTAATAATTAATAAAAAAAAACATTTAAAGTTGTTGTCAAATTTGACAGCAACCTCTTTTGTTGCCAATCTATGTCATCGCGGCATAGGATTTGGCACTTTGGTTGGAGAATATTAGTATGGTCTTTTTTTTATTGTTATAGCTAATGTGTACATTTTGGCATCTCTTTTGGAGATACTCTGATGAGCCACATGCGCAATGTAGTTAAAATTTGCACATAGTACATGTAAAAAGCGTGAAATTCCAGGATAGGTCTGGGTTTATGCTGGCCTCTATGTGGTTCCGCCACTTATATATTAATGTGCGAAATATAGGAGAGCTACTTTTTGGCCTCTATTACTTTCCTGCAGTGTTAGCCAACAATGAAGAGCGAACGCTTCCGGCGGATTCAGGATTGGGTTCATGTGGTTGCAAGTGCTGGTCATATTATCATTTTTACAATCGAACCGTGCCATTGCTTTTTCTTAATGATGGGAAACAATTTCTAAAGTTGTTGAGAATTTTTTATTTTATTTAAACAAACAATATTATTTATACTAAGGAAAGAAAGTGGGCATAGCCTCACAATGAGTTATCATTAATGTAATTCAAATTCGCATTTAACGAGAATCGAACTTAAGATTTACCAGTGAAAAAAATACAACTATACTATAGTACTAAGTGGCTAAAGTAGTTGAGATTAGCGAACAAGTAAATTGGTATTTATAGGCCCAATATTGATCATGTAAGATGCATTTGCAATTGTTAAGTGTTGTACGAACATGTCATGGATTTTGCTAGGGCTAGTCAGATCAACGTCTGAAACCTCACACTCACAAGTGTGCGGTCTACTAACCCAAGTATTGCGAGTGTGCACAAACGGTTGGAAGTCTCTAAACTCGTGTGAGTGTGTACAAACGGTTGGAAGTGTCCAAATTGCTTCTCTAAGAGCGATAAATAATAGAGATAGGGCTCCTATGATAAAAATGTCGAGTAATGCTATTCATACCATATTTTTGTACTACATTTTCATACCACCTTTGGTGGCATTTGATGTCGATAGCCATATCATTTGAATTAATCAGATTTTTAAATTTAGTTCATTATTTAATAAACTAATAATTAAGAAAAATTAGTCAATTAAATAATGATTGTAGTATACGAGGAGTTTTTCTCCAACATTTCCTAGGGTTTTGCAAATTTTCAAATGATGTGGCTGTCTATATCAGATGCCACCTAAGATGGTATAGAAATGTGGTATAAAAATATGATATAAATAGCTTTACTTAAAAATGTTGTATGAAGGCTATAAGATAGGGAGCAACTTACATGGCACAGTACATACAAAGAAACAAAAAAGGGTCTTGAAGGGTTTAGGTTTTAAAATATCACAGAAAAATGGTGTACATATACAAGTAAACCCAAACAAAGTGGGCACCCAACTATGATCCGATCCTCACCACCGGAAAATTCAAAGATTGCATACAATGAATGAGCTGATATGATAAACACCGGACGGAATGTGATGCTGAGAAGGCTTTGTTCTTCCTTTGCTTTGGACGAACGAATCATAATTTAGATGAACTACTAGATAAAGCATGATTGACTAGCTCCCTCCTCAAGATCTTCCCTGCTGGAGATTTTGGAATGGAGTTGATAAACGCTACCCGCCGTACCTTCTTGTACGGTGAAACCTGCAATAAGAACACACCAACACCAATGTGAAAGCCTATAACATACAAAGTTGCTCCTCAAATCTGCAGTTGAACCCTAATATTCATGATGAGAATTGTTCTCTTTTTCCCTAAATATGTATGTAAACCTATGTATATGAGCAATTTTAATTTGAAAGCTGTGAAGAAAACTTGTATGCACATTCAGTTACAGATTTTCTATTCAGGAGCATACTTGTTTTGCAACGAAATCCATAACTAGAACCTCGGTGATGTTGCTTCCGGGCTTTCTAACCACATAGGCCATGGGAATCTCCCCTGCATCTTCATCCGGATACCTGTTTTACAAACACAAATGGGAAGAACAAAGAACTCGTAAACCTTGAGGGGAAAAACTACACAAAAACTGTGATCTTTCGACTATCTGCGCGAACACATGCCACTCGTTTTCTTTTAGCCTTCTGGGATGAGGGTGGGACGGCATAAAACAAGATTTCGTAAAGGCCATCTTATCAGCAAAATATCCGTTTAAACGGAAAATTTTCTCTATACCTTTTTTTTCCTTTAAATGCACCAATTTCTTGTTTACAAATAAAGCTAAACTTCTAAGAATGACATGGTACTAGATACATACGGAATCACAGCAGCATCGGCAATGTCAGGATGGGATAGAAGTATATGTTCCAGCTCAACTGGAGGTACCTGCACTTCGTTCCAGAAACGAGACACCGAAAATAACACATTACGTAAAGGGACTGATCCAATGATATTTACAGTGATCTTTGTTATGAGTGAACTTTCAAGGGGTCTCAGTTTCAGTCACCTGATATGCCTTGTACTTTATCAATTCCTTCAACCTGCCAACAATGTAGAGGAACCCCTCGTCATTGAAATAACAAAGATCACCGGTCTTCAGCCACCCGTCTTTGTCCAAGGTCTCAGAAGTTGCCTTGTCATCTCCTACATAACCTGCACATATTATAAAGGTTTCGAAAAGGTCATTTGGATATGGAACTACATTGTCATCACTGCAAAATCACACTGTAAGAACGGGGTGCCGAAAAACTCAAAATCATCTTAATACGTTTTACGTTTGCAATGTGGGATATCTGAGACATGGCAAGTGTTCATTACCCTTCATGACCGATGGACCTCGCAGCCATAGCTCACCCCTCTTGCCGGGAGGCATTGCCTCTCCTGTTTCAGGGTCGACAATCTTGGCTTCCATATTTTCCGATAGGCGGCCCACAGAAGCATGCGACTTAGTCTCTTCGGAGTCTATCATCCTCGCCCCCCCTCCTGCGGTCTCCGTCAAACCATATCCCTAAACAGCCACAATATTCAGACATGTGACAGACGAGAGCGATGCGTGTATTAAACGTGTGCCTAACTGTTTTCCCTTTACCCGATAATATGCTAAACTACTTTAATTTGACGAAAAAGATTCGAACTTGAGTGCAAGATTCGAACTTGAATTATGTACTGTAGATGCAATTTTTAATTAACAGTCAAGAATTAAAATTAGGAAGGTAAAGCGACAACGTTAATTCTCTGACCTGTGCAATTTCAACAGTGGGAAATTTCTCACGGAATCTGTCAACAACGTCCTTTCCCAGCGGCGCACCGCCACAGCCGAGATGCCGAAGCGAGCTGAGATCGTATTTCTTAACCAGCTCCGACTTCGCCATTGCAACGACCAGCGGCGGCGATACCGGCATGTACGAGATTTTGTGCCTCTCCACGGCCCTCAGCATTGATTCGAAATCGAACCTCTCCATCAAAACCAAGGTCCCGCCCATTGCCACCGCCCGAACCACCATGACGAACCCGAACAAGTGGAACAGAGGTAGCGTGAACAGCGACACCTCTTGGCCGTTGGGTAGGTCCGCGTCGGGTTCGTGAAGGGCGTGGAGCCCAGCTATGACGGCGATGAAGTTGCGGTGAGTTAAGAGAACGCCTTTGACTCGGCCGGTGGTGCCGGAGGAGAAGAGAATCGTAGCCGGGTCGATCTGGTTGACTGCAAACCGGAGGTCGGATCGTGTTTCGGATGAACCGACCCGGTCGAGCATGGAGAGGAATTCGGACGAGTCGAGGAGTATAACGTTGCGGATTTTGTCGTTACCCTTGGGGAGCTTCTGAGCGGTTGCTGACGTGGCGAAGGCGATGACTGGTCGGGTTAGCCGGACCTGGTAGGCGATCTCGGACTCGGACCCGACTGGATTAGCGGGCGAAACGACGACGCCTAAGGCGAGGAGAGAGAAATAGAGGACGGGGACGTGGAGGGAAGGAGGGGAGAGAATGAAGGCCACGTGACCTTTGGAGAGAGAGGGAGCAAGGGATTGGAGGGAGAGAGTGAGGGAATGGATTTCGCCGAGGAAAGTTTGGTAGGAGACATGGCGGTCGGAGGCGGCGTCGATGAGGACGGAGGTGGTGGGCGCGGCGGTAGAGGATTGGAGGAGGGAGAGGGTGAACTGGGTGAGGGAGAGGGGTTGGGAGAGTGGCGGGAGTGGGACCGGAGGCCGGAGAGTGTGGAAGGTCTTGGTTTGTAGGCAGTAGCCGCTCTTGGGATTTGGTGTGGATTCGTCCGCCATGGTTTCGACGTGCTACTTGAAAGTTTAAAGTGTTTATAAGTTGTAAGACGTAGACGAAGACGAAGAGACGGGCGACGAAAGGAGACTGATTTTTGAGTATTACGTGGCATTTGACGTGAATAGTCACGTATTTGAAAAATTTGTAAAATTCAAGAAAAATGAGGAGAAAAACTCCTCGTATATCACAATTATAATTTAATTAACTAATTTTCTTAATTATTAATTTATTAAATAATGAATTAAATTTAAAAATCTGATTAATTCAAATAATGTGATTGTCCATATTAAATGCTACTTAAGGTATTATGAAAATGTGGTATAAAAATATGATATGTATAGCACTACTCCTGAGAGAAATTAAATCCCGACATTGACTGTTTGAGTTTGCATGGATGTATAGCATTACCTCTGGGTGAGGGAGGGGGGTTGGGTGCTTTTGTGGTTGTAAACTGTTTGAGTTTGCGTGGATTTTAAGCGAAATTAAATCCCGACGTTGAAGCGAAATTAAATCCCGACGTTGACTCTTTTGGGTTTGCCATATAACTATAAGAGAAATGTTAGGATGCTTAAATTTATAGATAAAATTTACAAATGAAATGATGTGTTATCAATAAAAATAATCATGTTTGTCAATGCTTAATTAATGAGTCAATCATCAACTTATATATATCATTTAGTTTAGCAAATTTAGAGTTTGTTTGGATGTGATTTTAAAATGATTGAAAGCGATTTTAGTGAAAATGTTTTTGAACCTAATTCTTAGTAAAAATGCAAGTAAATCCTGGAAAAACACTTAGAGCGACCATTCCTTTGTTTATGTTTGGATCCAAATATTCATCATCGGCCCGTGCAATCAAGGTCGTTGAGTGAGCATAACTCTCAATCGTCGGATGAAAAAGTGAAGATAATTTTTGTCATTATTGAAGGATAATATTATGGTTTTTATCATAATAATTATCTTTTAATATGAATTATCCTAGCATCTTCTTCAACCAGATAAATAAAGTGCGAATTATATCCTGAAACAAGTGGTACAGTTTAAATTGAGTTGGGATGTGTGTAGGTGTGTGGACCTGTGTGGATTGGATATGCTACAAGATGATATTAAAGATGATGGCTTTGGGTGATGATGAGACAAGCCTAGAAAAGTTAGTTTTTTTTTTTGGTGGTGGTGTAATGATGACCTAGGAAACCTAGGTAGGCTAGGCTTTTCTTGTTTTTTGCATGGTGATGGAAGTAAGAGTTTCTAAAGGTTTTTAATGAGATTAGAAGCCTAGGTGGGCTAGGTTTCTGATGTGGTATGATAAAACCTAAATAGGCTGTTGCTTATTTAATTGACGAGTTTGAAAAGTCAAGGAATAAATCACACGGATCAATTTGAAGGATATGCTTCAGCTCCACAAATTATGATTGCAATGGGATTCTACAAAATTATTTGGTCGCGCCACACAACATTTGCCTATAAATACAAGACTCAGTGCAACGGAAGAAGGACCTTCAATTCAACACATAACTGCCCTGCGCAAAACCTCTCAAACATCTTGAGATTTTTTATTTTCTTTTTTCCGTCGACACATCTTCAGTTTGGATAAACAGTACTGTGAAGGCAACCAGCGAACACCTTCAGTTTGGATAAACAGCATTGTTACCGTAAAATCAACCAACCGAGGAGCACCTTCAATTTGGATAAACAGCACTGCGTCGAGGGTGACTGGTTACCTATCCAAGTCTCGGTCGAGAAGGGTTTTCGAATCCTTATTGGCAGAGGTCATCTTATTAGCCTTTTCAGCGAAGTAAGGTGTTACGAGTTATGACATTCGGCGTATTAGACACCGAGTGATTTTATGATTGAATACTCACAAGTGAGTTTCAAAGTTCGGCATTCTGACGGCCGAACCACATTCACCATCAAGACATACATCACCTTTGAGTACTTGTGTCCCTATAGTCTGGTGTCGATTCGACGTGCTTATACTCTTACGAATATAATCACTGTGACCGAATCGGGCTCTGACGATTTGTGAACTTCGCAGAACTAGCAGCCTTGTCTTCATGCTCGAGAATCCAGAGGCCAAAATTTGTTCCTTCCTCGGCCACAATCGCAAGATAAAGAAGTTAGCAACGCGCTCAACGCAACATCAACAAATTTTACTCCTCGGCCGACGAGTTGGCACGCCCCGCATTCAACCGAATGACGTAGTTAACTTATTAGTTACTTGGCCTGCGCGTCACGTGGACTTTGTAATTTTTAGGGTCAACATTTTGGCACGCGCCAGTGGGACTCAGTGCTAAAACTACGAAGTTCATATGATATATCAAGATTCCAATCCGGCTCCACGTAGCAGATTGTACGAGCTCCTAGAGTAATTGAAAAAACACAATGAAGAACGAAAAAGATCTTTGGAATGGAAAAAATTCTTTGTGGCCATACAGAGATGCAAAAGTCATTTACTTACATGTTGAGAATAAAAACTCCTGTTACCCTGCAAGAGCAATGGGTAAATGAAGACAGGGCTCGATTTAATACCTGGCTAGATGGAAAATATTTGCCTTCCATTTTCGACTACAAATCGATTCCATTTGAGGAATGGTTGGTTGAAAAGACCAGGGGACAATTTTTCGCTCCAGCCATAATCAGACATCGGCCTAAGAAAATTGTTACTTTGGCCGAAAAAAAAAAAGCCACCTATTTTTTCTGTCGAGACTGAAAATATGATCGGCCAAGAAGAAAAACCTAGGCCACCTATTTTTTCGGTCGAGACTGAAAGTGTGGTAGGCCTAGAAGAAAATATTCAACTTTCTAAGCCAAAAATTGACTCAGAAAATAATTCGTCAGAAAAGTGTTCCACTGACGAACAAGACCAATTCATGGTTTTAGATGCCGAAACTACGCCAATTGACATGGTTATTGGTGATACAGCCAATATAGAGAAATCACATTCAGCTAAGTTGTTTGAATTAAAAGCCGAAATTATGCCTAGGGGGCAAAATAATTGTTCAACACATTCGGCGGCCGAACATGAAATTTTTTTTGCCAAGTTACAAATATTTGGAGAAAATCCTTTATTCGGCTTAGAGCGAAATCAATTTGAAAATGTTGATATCAAAAGATCTCGACTTGGAATAAAGCATCGTTGGCCTCCTCCTGATTATGGTTTGGCCACTTTCGTTTTCATTTGCTAAAAAAAAAAAAATGATGAATAAATTATTTTCTTAATCATTCGGCTCCTTAACCAGTGCATAAGAAATTAAGGAGGCTACATAGTGGATACACCACACGGGGTGAATTCGGGACAACATCCTGCCGAGTGAATTTTTATTCGGTGGTGAATGCTTATTTTTTTCTCAGCGATCAGGGAATGTACATAGGATAGTTCTTTGCTTAATCGCATCACTTCGTTTTCGGCAATACGAGGGGTTCTTTGACTGCGCTAATTTCCTTAACCATTCGGCTTGCAAGCCGAAGTCCAAGGAAACTGGGGGGCATAGGTGGTACATTTCGGCGGTTAAAATTATTTTAATCTCGCCGAGAATGAGTGAATTAAAATAGCTGCTTGGTGAGACTGCTGCTCAGTGCAGAAATCTATACCCACAATCCAAACTAAATGGTCATATTTGACTCAAAGGCGTTGGCAGATTCACGTGGCAATACAACCACTACTAGATTAATTTCGTGCAATTAATCCATGAGATAAAGGTGAAATTGTGAGGTAGTGATGTGATGTGATTAAGACAGGCTTTAGCCTATGGACATGATTGTGGCGTGTGGAATCATGATTTTCTTCAAGGTACCAGGCTAGTGAGGAGTCATGGTTTGCTTTCTTGTCATGTCAGAATACAATTGGGAAGACAAAAGTTTTTATTTAGGCCGAGCTTGGCAAACTTGGCCGAATCTGGGTTTTATTATCCTCGACCATATGGCTCAGCATTAATTAAGTGTTGCAATCACTCGGCTAGGACGTCAACAATGAGATATGAGGTATAGAAAATCACCTACTTTTGGTGGTCATTCAATGCATACATGCATCATCCCTTCAGAGACCCTTCTGACATTTCAACCCCCTTTTCGAGTATATATATACCTGGAGCAGCGTGCAATATGTTTGAAATGTCAAGCCAACATCATTATTGCCTTGGTGTTAAAGTCAGCATACATCAGGCTATTCATATGTGTGTGTGTGTGTGTATTTATATATATGTATAAATAGGCTCTACACCCAATTCTTCTCGGCCTCGGCCCACTTTACAAAACTATATGGCTGAATAAAATTTTTCTGAGTTTAATATATATATATATATATATAGTTGTGTGGTATAATCGGCCGTTTTCATTTTAAGCCTCGCCGAGAGAATTATGTTTGCGTTGCTGCATGTTTAATTCAACAAAGGCCACAAGGTTTGATGGTTGTGTTCTATTTGGTGCATACTACAGATCATGTGCAGAACGTGCTAGGCAGAGTACTAGATATATATGGTTGCAGAACGTGCTCAGAGGCATGAGTTTAATATATATATATATATGGTTGCAGAACGTGCTCAGAGGCATAAGTTTAATATATATATATATATATATATATATATTTAGTAGTATCACGTCGAGATACCATTATCGAATTTTAAATGCCGAAGCGTGGATAACTGAATGACATGTCGAACGGCTGTCCACATGTGATTTTTCTTGAAGACAAGTAAGCTGCTTGGTGGCAAGCCTTCGACTATTTGGTTTTTCTCGGCCTTGATCCCATTTGTTTTTCCTTGGCATAGTAGGTATAACTTTCTTTGAAGGAGTAAATGGTAGGTGAGAGTCCTCGAGCCTTCAACCGCATTTGGTTTCTCGGCCCTCGACCCTATTTGGCTTTCCTTGACTAAATTTTTCTTGAGCCGAGAGGACAACTGAGCATTAGTCTCCAACATGCATGCTGCATCCTCACTTTTGCCATATCCCTATGTGTTCTTTATAGCAGCTGGTGGGGTGGAACCATCAAATTATGGGATCTTGACGATCACAGTCCCTTGACAGTATTAGGCGAAGACACATTTGGTGCCGTGGCCTCTGTCTCGCCGTTGGCAGGCACATGTTTATTGCAACTCATGACAATGGATGTGTAAAGGTGTTCTGTTTATCCGTGTCCTTACTTGATCCGGGCTAGAATTATGTTAGGCCGATCTCGGCCAATGCGTTGAGGTTTCTTTCAAGACGTGGCAGGCTATGTAGTGGATTCCTCGACCATATATTTATTCGACTACGCTAATTTCCTTAACCATTCGGCTTACGGGCCGAAACTTAAGGAAATTGGGGGGCAATGTTTGGATCCAAATATTCACCATTGGCCTGTGCAATCAAGGCCATTGAGTGAGAATAGCTCTCAGTCGTCGGATGGAAAAATAGAGATAATTTTTGTCATTATTAAAGGATAATATTATGGTTTTTATCATAATAATTATCTTTTAATTTGAATTATCCTAGCATCTTCTTCAACTAGATAAATAAGGTGCGAATTATATCCCGAAACAAGTGGTACAGGTTAAATTGAGTTGGGATATGTGTGGACGTGTGGATTGGATATGCTGCAAGATGATATTAAAGATGATGGCTTTGGGTGATGATGAGACAAGCCTAGAAAGGCTAGGTTTTTTTTTTTTTGGTCGTGGTGTAATGATGACCTAGGAAACCTAGGTAGGCTAGGTTTTTCTTGTTTTTTGCATGGTGATGGAAGTAAGAGTTTTTGCTGAAGGTTTTTAATGAGATCAGAAGCCTAGGTGGGCTAGGTTTCTGATGTGGTATGGTAAAACCTAGATAGGCTGTTGCTTATCTAACTGACGAGTTTGAAAAGTCAAGGAACAAATCCCACGGATCAATTTGAAGGATATGCTTTAGCTCCGCAAATTAGGATTGCAGTGGGACTCTACAAAATTATTTGGTCGCGCCACACAACATTTGCCTATAAATACAAGACTCGGTGCAACGGAAGAAGAACCTTTAATTCAACACACAACTGCCCTGTGCAAAACCTCACAAATATCTTGAGATTTTTTATTTTCTTTTTCCCGCCAACACATCTTCAATTTGGATAAATAGCACTGTGAAGGCAACCGGTGAACACCTTCAGTTTGGATAAACATCACTGTTACCGTAGAATCAACCGACCGAGGAGCTCCTTCAGTTTGGATAAACAGTACTGCGTCGAGGCCGACTGATTACCTATCCAAGTCTTGGTCGAGAAGGGTTTTCGAATCCTTATTGGCAGATGTCATCTTATTAGCCTTCTCGGCGAAGTAAGGTGTTACGAGTTATGACATTCGGCGTATTGGACACCGAGTGATTTTATGATTGGATACTCACAAGTGAGTTTCAGAGTTCGTCATTCTGACGGCCGAACCACATTCACCATCAAGACATACATCACCTTTGAGTACTTGTGTCCGTATAGTCTAGTGTCGATTCAACGTGCTTATACTCTTATGAATATAATCATTGTGACCGAATCGGGTGCCGACGATTTGTGAACTTCGCAGAACTAGCAACCTTGTCTTCAGGCTCGAGAATCCAGAGGTCGACATTTGTTCATTCCTCGGCCGCAGTCGTAAGATAAAGAAGTCAGTAACGCGCTCAACGCAACATCAAGAAATTTTACTCCTCTGCCGAGCTCGGCCGACGAGTTGGCACTCCCCACATTCAACCGAATAATGTAGTTAGCTTATTAGTTACTCGGCCTGTGCACCACGTAGGCTTTGTAATTTTTAGAGTCAACAGTTTACTAAATTTCAAAGAATAAAAAATATGGTGGGACCTACACAAAGTTTGGAATTCAATTCCTCACTTTGGAGGAATTGGATCCCTTGATAGTAAGAGGTATTTGAGTTTCGGAAGAATGAGGGAATGGGGAATCCATTTTTCATACCCATAATGCCCTCACATAATTGCTGAAATTCCAATGATAAACCAGCACCGGTGCCCAGCGCTAGTCTGTCTCCTTCTTCCTCACTACGGTCCCTTTCCTGTCTTCCCAAGGCTATATACCCACCATCATCTTCCTCGACAACAACGGTAACCAGAAAACAAGATCAAGCGAAAGTTGAAGAATAACCCATTTTAGTTATTTTATTTTTAACACAATGTTAAAAACCAAACTCCTCACATTCAAATCAACACGAAATACCCCATAAACTAAACTTCAAAGAAATTACATCACCACAACCAGCACTTCCCAAAGGCCTCAAACCCACCGTGAATTTCAAATTGTTGAAAGATGATTGAGGCAAAGATAGAGAGAACGGTTGGGTTGGGGTTTGGTTGGTTAGTTTTTTATTTTTACTTTTATATCAATTGACTTGATTTCCTATAAGTTCTTATAAAATATTTATTTATAATAAAGGGCATTCTAGTAATCATAAAATTTTCATTCCCATTCAAGTGAATTCTAGTAATCATACAACTTATATTCAAACATGACCATTAATACTCCGATTCCAGAAATTGTAGTAAATAGCTTTAATGAAAATCTGGATTTCAATTCTCCTCAAGTCAATTCATCCTCAATTTAGTTCCCCCTCAATCCAATTCCACCTATTTTGATTATGGATTAGTAAACGAGCCCTTAAAGTGCTTCCTGGAAGAAGCACATAACTGATGCTTATTGCAGAAAGCACTTCAAGTGTTTTTGGAATCCAAAAACATTTTCTCTATCCAAACAGGCACTTAGTCTATTTAGTATTACTCTAAATATAAACAAGGGGGTAATGCTAGGGAGACTAAATCTGTTGATAAATTTGCAAAACAGAACCATGTGTCACCAATAAGAAATAAACATGTTATCCAACACTTATGTAATAATACAATCATTGACTTTCATGTTATTTAGTTTACACATTTAGTCTACAAATTTAGTTAATGCTAGGAAGATTAAATTTGTACACAAAATTTGCAAACTAAATAATGTGTCATCAATAGAAATGAGCACGTTTATCAACGCTTAAGTCATAATCATATCATCAACTTTCATCTTTTTTAGTTTGTAAAATTTAATCTCCTTAGTATTACTTTATAAACAAATCTCTAATTGTTTTCCAATTTTATTCCAATTATTCAGAAATTTCCAAGTTTAGATTGAAAATTAACGACGGAATCGGAAATTTCATTCCAACTTGAAGTCTTGAACTTGCACTCGGTGCACAACCAATAAAGGGTAAAATAGTAAACTAGCCACGAGGGACTAAATAAGAAAAAGAGGTTAAAACATAGGAAATAAGTATAATTACCTAAAAACAAGGGACCTAATGAACTTCTCGCAGCTCATAACTTTTTGAGGGAGCTAGGGTTTAAGGGTTTTTCTCCTTCCCCGATCTCTGCGAGTGAGAGTTGAGCAAAATATGCCTCGTACGACCACACTCGAGTGCCCAGGTTGTCCTCCACTTCGAGCTCTAACCTTCGACGAGCTCGGTCTCATCAAAGGTATCTCTGTCTTGTCTTATACTGTCCATTTCTCGGCCAAACAAGAATCAACTGCTAATTCTTTTGATAAAAGTCTAAAATTCGGTTATACCGTTGGTTGTTTGCAGTTATTGAAGCTCGGGGTAAACAAGGAAGGGCAGAACCAAAGTTGGTTGAGAGGTGGGGCGACCTAGATTCGTCGAAAAGCGTGCTTGCCGCCTCTTTGGATGACCGAAAATCTGATCCGGTATGAGTTTTCTCTGTGATTTATGGTTTCTTTGTGTTATAATTCTAAAGGGTTAATCGCAATGTTATAAGTTTAATGGGTTTTTTCTCAGTTCCTCGACGGAGCTGAAAGATGTTCTCTTTCTTCCGATTGTTCACCGCTGATTCATGTACCCAGTGAAGTCCGTTGGGTACATTAAGCGGTGGAGGCGGATGTTCTTCCCCTTGGTGGATGAGAGAGAGGGGGGGATACACCCTTGAAATTTCTTTTTATTCGTTTGTTCCAAAACAGAAAGAAAAAAAAAGAAGAAAAAAAAGGAGGGTGAGGAGGAGGGTAGAATCATCATCATCCCCATCCCAACTGCAATAGTGCTGCTGCCGCCTTTAAGAAATGACAGGCAGCGGCTCTCACTTCGCTGCTAATACTTGTCAAAACGATTGAACGATTAAACTTTCCATTATGTCATGTGTGTCCTGGGAATGTAGTTTCAACTGGGTATGTCTGGCTCTGTTTTATGAGTTTAAAGCGTAAAACGATTGAATAATTAAACTTTCCATTATTTCAATGTTGCAGCTGCTAGCTGTTGCAAGGAGAAATGGGACGGTGAGTACATTATTAAGTGGGAGCAATTTGTGTTTCCTTTTGTTTTATAATTACAGGATGACAACTATTAGGTGCTTGCACGTCTTACAGATTGAAGTTCTTAATCCTCTTAATGGGGATCTCCGTTTCTCTGTTACCAATTCTAGTAATGACGGGGTTCAACCTGAAGATGACCCTGTTGCCGGATTACATTTGCTTGCCAAAAAGAATTTGGAACTGGCTTCAAGGTAAGATGCCTTCTGTGCTTTCATATTTTACCATCTAAACTGAATTTTGATCACTGCAATTTCTAATAAAGTTAGGTACTTAATCATCTTATGATGCATAGGATTTGGTATGCTTGGGCGTTCAGTTTTAGGTTCACTCATTCTTTTAGAACTCTTTTTTCACCAGGTTTTATTGCAGTACAATTACTAAGATCGTATAGAATGTGTTTTCTAGTGCACATTTTGTGGAGTGCATACATGCACAGTGTATTCGCCTTGCATGCTTCAGTTATATATTTACAGTCTAAAGTTTAATTGCTAGCATGTATACCAACTTAGATAAGTGTCCCCTGAAAACCAAGTTGTCTTAAGCTTAAACCTTTGAGAGGTGCCCCAAGTATTTCTATATTCTTTTGACAATGTTAATTCTTGCATAGTTTTTTTGTTTAAAAAAAATGGCATTGTTCCCTCTGTGCATACAGGTACTAATATTTTTTAAACTTGTTATATGCTGTTAGGTCTTGCACTTTGCTTACATGTACAGAAAAAGGAAATGCAAGCATAAGATCCTTTGAATTGACTAAACCAGCATCAGATGTTACTTCGACTGGATCTTCAAGAACATGGAGTGTGGGTGCTGGTGGAAATATCTTATGTTCGAAAGTAGATGGAAGTGAAAACTACTTTTTATTTGGAGGGTGAGTTCTCATAATAAGGAAAAGGACTTACCATATGAGCTTCAAAATCTACTTAACGTTTCATTAAACGAAGAGTATCATCACTAGGATATTTGTGTTACAAGTGGTGACGTTATTATTCTCAAACTCAGGAAGCGTGTTGAGATGAATGTCTGGGATCTTGACAGCTGTGCCAAGATTTGGACAGCAAAACCTGTGAGCATTTCTATCTTCCACAATTATGACTTGAGGAAATTAACACGCACGCACGCGCGCACACACACACATGTATTTTCTTTTGCAAACAGTATGATCGGCATTTATTCTAATTTTTTTTTACCCTGAGCAGCCTCCTAAAAACACCCTTGGTATCTTTACCCCAACTTGGTTTACATCTGCCACATTTTTAAGTAAAGATGATCATCGGAAATTTGTTGCTGGCACCAACAGTCATGAGGTAATATTCGCTTACAGTAGGACTGATTTTGTCTTGTTGTTTTCAGTTGGAAATAAGCTACTTCTGGAGAATAGTCCTCTTTTTATATATTTATTTATTTTTTAATGTACTTAGGATGATAAACTTCTGCGCTAACTAAGAATATAGTATAGGTTTTATAAAAACCGAATACAACTTTGAGTTCTTGGATTTCTATAATGTTTGCTCGTTTTAGAAGTTCAGTTTCTTGAATACTCTTAGTAGCACAACCGAAAAGGATTCTGTTGACAGCTTATGACTGGTTTTATTTGACAGGTTTGTCTCTATGACATTTCTGCACAGCGAAGACCTGTCATATCATTTGAATTCCGAGAGACCGCTATTAAATCTGTAGCGGAAGATCTAGATGGCTATACAATCTATGTAGGGAATGGATCTGGTGACCTAGCTTCTTTTGACATACGCACAGGTGCGTTGAGCTTTATTAGCACATTTTGATAAGTGGTGAGGTCAATGGGGATTAAACTGGAATTTGGAACTTCAGTTAGGGTTGAAATAGTTTAAGCCGGGTAAAATTATGTATATGTGAAAAAAAAAAAAACTCGGGGATACATTTTCTATGGACTGAGCTTTGAGATTTAATAATGCTTAAAGCTGAGTTCATGATGCTTGGGCTGGCATTGGTTCTGCCGAAGAACTTCTGACTTGAGGCTCACTTATAATTGTTCATCAATTCTTTGAAAATTTGTATGTTACCAAATTCTTTTTTCTATAGAATAGAAAAAAGTAGCTGAGGTATGTATGTAGGCATGATTAAAAATTTAAAAGCCATTTGTAGAGCTTACTTAGGGAAGAAAAAGCCATCTGTTGAGCATGATGCTTGTTACCTAAGTTATGGAATGACTGGTGTATCAACGGCTGGTGTCAGGCATGTCCACTATGGAGGTCCCTTTGCAAGATTCGAGAACACTATTCATGTTATGGATAGGGATAAAGTGGTTGTGTATTGTCCCTCTTGAACCAGATAATGATAGTATGACGTTGTTTATGTTACTTTGTAATCTGTCTTTTCGACTATTGGTGGTGCTTTCTTTACTTTAATTCTGTGTTTTACAACAGGGAAATTGTTAGGATGCTTTTTGGGGAAGTGTTCAGGTAGCATAAGATCCATAGCAAGGCACCCAGACTATCCAGTGATAGCATCATGTGGTGAGTGCATGCTTTCTGTTTTCAATATTTAAAATTTTTGTTCAATACTAGTTCTCTCTCTCTCTCTCTCTCTCTCTCTCTCTAAAGCTTTATTGGTAAAGTTAGTAGGGGTTGGAAACCAAATTTATTCTCTATGTATCACTGACCTTAAGTTCTTTCCTTCTAGGATTGGATAGCTATCTACGGCTTTGGAATGTGAAGACCCGGCAACTACTCTCTGCGGTATGTTATTGCAGTTTATTGTTTTTGAGTTATATAAGCAGGCGATTGACCAGCCGGCCTGATTGTTTAAAGTTACATCGAGCAAAAAGCCCAAATTTGGCTCTATATAAAATTTTAGCTAATCTTTTGTACTTATGATAATTATAGCGAAGAATGTATGTGGAAATAACATAGTTTCCTTAATAACTCAAACGTAGTTTCTCATCAGTCCGGTGTCAGCTCCCCCTCATCGCTCTTTGAACTCTCTTATAACTTAAGAATCCTTTCCCCATTTGCCATCTCCTATGCCAGAGAAGAGGGAGGCATGGAAAAATTCTGACCATAGATGTGGATTATTGATTTGTTCGGATCCAATACTTTCGTATACAATTGGGTCATGGCACTTAGATTGGTCACTTCTCAAACCTTAGTGCCTGACATAACTCAAAATATACAGAAATACAATAAGTAGCGAATCATTTTATTATCAAGTGAAATTCCCCAGATCTGGAACACTACCTGTAACTTCATGGACAATGGAGCTGAATTTTCAAGGACTAATAACAGTTCTTGTTGATCAGACTTGTATAAGAGTTTGGTTGGGATCACGACTTGTACTAGGGAAGCACGGCTTCTCAAAGACTTCTGAACTTATGATTTGTTGAAGCTTGCCACATATGAAGTGGGAGAGATGTGGTTAGGTCCGGATTTGGATGTCTAGGGTATTTTAGTGCTTTCACCTTAGCTTTTGCCGGATTGTCAAAAGTGAAAAATGTTGGCTAAAATTCCCTAATTTTCATGGTTTCATGTGTAGTGGAGTAACAATGATGTATGCTACAACTTTCCCATTCTTTTAGATCAATTGTTCTCGTTGAAATGTTGCAGGTTTACCTGAAGCAGCCTCTGTCAAACGTTCTTTTTGATTCCAATTTCGCCGATGAAGGTCAGTTTTTCTGTTTCCTATTTCTGCAAGTTGTGCTATCATGTAACCATTCCCCAAAACTTTAGCTGCAAGTTTTCCTTTCTATTCTGCAGAAGCAGGAGTTGTCAATCCCCCTGCCAATCGGCTGCTGCATGGAGAGCATATTGCGGCTGAGAGGGATGAGGATGAAACACCACCCGTGAAAAGGAAGAAATCCAAGGAAAAGAAAGGAAGCAAGAAGGAAGCTAAAGCAAAAGGTGGAAACAATGAAGCTTGTGAAGAAGATGGAGGCAAGAAAGTGAAATCCAAAAAAAGTAGCAAAAGGTTAAAACGGGAAGATGCTGATGACTTATCGTGATCCCGACGGGGCCAAAAGGATGGAGCATATGCTCAAGCAACCGGGCAGAGACCCAGGACCAAACATGCCGATGAGGAAAGGCAATTGCGCCCTGACAAATTTTTGATAGGAAAACTTAAGCAACATTGTAAATTGTCTCTTTCGGAAATCGGATAGCTGTGCTATTTAATCAGATTGGTGTTGAACTGAAAGTGAAATCAGTATTTGTAATCCAACGAGCATCCTCCCCAAACTCGTTCCAGATTCACCTCTTCTACACAATTGACCAAAAACTAACATTTACGAACAAAAAGAAGTGCGTGACATTGAATGAAAATGGATGACAAGCGAACTTGTTCTGCTGAGATTGATAGCTCAGTTGATATCAAAAGCAAATTTTATCACAGGCGCCTTAACACAAGATCAACACTGTTTTCGGTAAAATTCGCAACTAAAACAATGAACCAGCAGGGAATGAAAAGAAGTAGCACGTTACTCGGTTGCAGCTTCATCTTTCTTCGGGGCTAAGTACCTATGACAAATTGCACGATTAAATGTTTTCAGCTCACTCACTTTGACAAAGGTCAGTTATGAAAACCTGACAACTCAACTAAATTTACTATTTACTTTTAGTTTTCTGAAATTGTTGCTGAAAACAGATCGCTTACCCCTGACCCCTCGCCCAGCGAGAGAGCTGATAGAGTTGGACAGTCTCATTTGAGACATGGCATGCCAAAAGCAGATAGTTGCGAGGCTGTACCATCCACGCAAATCTCATAAACAACGCTGAATAAACGCACATTGCTGCAGAAACAGATTCAAAACACGGTTATAATCCTGCCACATCGTATATACTAAAACTAATTTACATCCTCAAATACAGTTATATTGGACCTGCTGTCATATTGCCAGAAATCATTTCTGGAGGTTTGTTCATATCCGCCAATCCCTGTTAAATCAATCCCGTTATGATCAAGATTAGTCAAAAAGCATGAAGCAGCATTTTAATTCAAATACATTCTTATATACTAGAAATCACGGCAGAGAAACATACAGCGGCAACGAATCCCCAGTTTGCAACAGGTCCCCAAAAGTGAGTTGTTTTCGGACCAACTGGACTGTTCAAGAATGCTCGGAATGAAGCCATATGTGATATCTACTGCTTAGAATCTCTGTTAAGTCAGAAAACAATAAGAGAATAGAAAGAAGAAAGACAACTCAACAACGACAGGATGCGACAAGATGCAACGACAACCAAAAACCAACAACAACAAAGCCTTATCCCACTAAATGTCAATCTGCCAAACCTACTAACAAACTTGTCAATCGTCAACGAAACACTTTTCGCTGTAAACCCCCTTTACACGATTTAACGCACTTATCATGTTCTTATCGTCAGTGGTTCTAGCAAAATCGTTAATCGTTTAAATGATCAAACTTGCTCCTCAAACTCACCACGACATTACCCGACAGCAGTAACAAACATATAACTGTGGAATAACAAGAATAAAACAAGATAAACTAGTTAATTATCAATAATCTTCACAGATTAGATTAATTACTGATTAGCAATAGCTCAATTAACTTATCAAAAGTTCAACTATGAGGACTCATTTAGAAGTATTTTTCAAATGACTGAAACTGTTTTTAGAGAAAATATTTTTGAATTTCAAAAGCACTTGCCGGTCACTTCAAGTGCTATTTACAAGGTTTGATTTCAAAAACTCTTTCAGCTATTTTAAAAACACAAGCCATAAATTCCAATTTATAATTGTCAGTGTGCATTTTCAGAATCGAAAGTATTGTGATTTGGCCATTCAAATATTAGGGTTCCCAAAATTAAATACACAAAAATAAAAATTAATTCAATTTTCTGATAATAAATTTGATCAAATCCAGACCTTTCCCCTAAGCCGTAATTCCAAAACGCCCAAATTCAGACGAGTCAATATATGATGCATGTATGTATGTATCCATGTATGTCAGCCATCATATGCATGAGACGTACCTTATCGGAGAACTCGACGGAACAATTGGGACGATCGGCGTTTAATTTACAGGGAAAAGTCTCTGACTTTCTCGGAGGGGCTGCGTTTGTGGGACGGTACCAGCTCCCGAGAAGCTACCCAAGTAAAAGTAGGTCAGTGAACTCGGATCGGCGGCGAATCAACGATATTTTCCTCAATGCTATTTGAACACGTGTCAAGATGGAGAGTAAGGTTGGTCAACTAATTGGGTCCAACTCTACTGTACCGAAACCTACTGTACCCACCCTCTTCCTGCATTTTTGTGTTGACAAGTGTCCCTTGACTTCACAAGTGGTTAACAGAGTTGTATTTTTTTGGGCCTATTACAACTTTGATAGACTGCAGTTATGGTTATTGTGGGCTGGGTTTCCCCTCGGCCCATTCTCATTAAGTTTGATTAATTTTTGAGACTCGTAATGTAAGAGTGCTTGTGTGTCGATTGTGAGTACATCGTTTTCAGAAGTTTAGGGGGATGTAATCAAACTTGAATTTGAGAGGATTTTAAAAACTTTAAAATCCTAGTATAGTCAATAAAAGATTTTAAAGGATTTTAGAATTCATTCAAATTTAGGTGTAGTCAATTAAAAGATTTTAGAATCCTTTAAAATCTAAGTATAGTCAATTAAAAGATTTTAAAGGATTTTAAAATCTATCAAAATATAAGCGTATTCAAAAAATTAAGATTTTGGAGGATTTCAATAAGTTGTGAATTTTGTGGAATTTGAGAGCCAAAAATATATAACCAATACTAAAAAGAATCCAACCTCACCCCTAGGATTTCAAATCCTTCCACCACAATCCACCACAATCCATTTAAATTCTTTAAAAAATCCATATGAATTTTGTAGGAGTCTTTAATCCTCTTAAATCCCATCAAATCTATCACTTTTAAAATCCTTGAAAATCTTAGTTTGACTACACCCCCTTTAGTTTTATAAATTTATCTTGGTAGATAAAGGGTTTGGATCAAGTTTCATTGACTCGTGTGATCACCAAGGAATTAGCTCCAATTACGAAATTACATGAACACAATTAGTTAATGTCCAAATGAAAGAATATTGGCAAGTGGCCCTTTACCACAGGGGGACCGGGAAGGGGGAGGGGGAAAGAAGTTGAGCCCTTGCATGACGGCGTGGGTTCAAACTCCGTAGCTATACTTCACCAGTGGTAAAAGGCATTTGTATATGTTAATAGTGCATGTACAGAGACATGACTAGGCAGAACTTCACTAGACAGGAACCACACAGATGCAGTGTAATATGTAATGCATGATCCAAACCTGTGTGATGTGTGATGACTTGAGTCTTCATCATCTTAGCAACTTCACCTGCAACCTATCACCTACCTAATCCTAGATTGAGATTGGTGAGATAGAGGTATAAACATACATGCTTGTTCAAGGAAATTCAAACCTAGACTTAACGTCTGAAACGAAAAACAAACCAATAATTTGTACTGGAGGTGGAATAGATACAAACATAATACCGATTACAGCCATGGCGCGCCAGGATATGGCATTTCCAATAGCATAGAATAGCGAAAACCCACAGCTAAGTAACAACTGTGCACTTACTGAAATTTAGGGTAGTAATTAGAGAAGAAATGTAAGATTGGGAAGCACAGATAATATTGTGTTGCACATTATCTTCCACAAGGCTTTCATTATCGTTGGACCAGATTGCAGTGACATTGATCAGTAGGTTGGGGGGTTTATGATAATTAGTCCTGCTTTATTCGTGTTTTAATATCTAGTTACTGGAGATTGTTTGGTCAGAAGACCCTAGCTGTTTGATTCGACTGCGTGCTCAAGCGAGAATTTACATGACCGATTCTTCATTTATATGCAGTTAGGCATAGCAGCAGATGATTTATGGGCAAAAGAAGTAGAATCAAATGAACCTTTGTATTTCTTGACGTAAAATGAAAGTTTGTGTGCCCTTTGCAGTACTGATTAAATTATTCGTAGCATCCATGGTTTATTTGAAGCACAAATGAAGAGACTTATTTTTATAGGGAAACATAGATTACAACAAGAAAACCGAAGGGATAATGGCTTTACATTGCTAAATATTAAGTTTGAACAACTGATTACTCAGGCAGCTATAGCAGGATCTCAGCCTTGAAGGAAAGCTCGGAACCACTTAATGGAGAGCTTGGGGTAGCGCGTGTAGTTACTGAAATCAACAAGGTAAATACCAACTCGATTGAACCCCATGCCCCATTCAATGTCGTCGAATAGAGCCCAATAGAAGTACCCTTTGACATTCACTCCATTCCTGCAATAATTTTTGTTTAGAATGAGACAATATATTTGTTTCAGTATCAAATAAAAATATATATCATCACTTACTTAATTGCCTTATTGATTCGATACAAGTGACGAAAAACAAAGGAAATTCGATATGGATCCTCTAGAAGTACTTCAAGTGGAGAGCCATTGTCCTTGTGATCAGAAAGTCCTACAAAGAAAAGGAGTAGAAGATATGTCATCCTTTTTTATTTTTGTTATGCATATTTTGGTTAACAGTATATATACAAGGATTAACCGAAGCATAAGAAATCGAACCATTTTCAGAAATGTAGAGCTTTGGATTTTGATATTTATCCTTAACGTACTCCAACAGCTTCTGCAGCCCTTCCGGCCAATGACCATCGGTCTGCACCATAAGGAAAAATTTAACCACACGCTTTCCTCAAACAAAGACAATAGCGATGTTTCGTTTCTTACAAAACTAGCAAGAACATAGAATCTTAAAAAATTTCTTACCACACCCAGAATTTCTTCATCTTTGATAGCTGAAACAATCAAAACACGATCAACATGACGGAATATTAAAACTATGCTTGATGTTTGATTTTTCATTTGTCCTTATGGCTCTAGAGAGCAAGATATCTTACCTATTGTTTCAGGCCCATTGATCGAAGGAATAACGCAACGCCTCACCTGGAGGAGGAGCCTTATGTTTGGCATATGTTGATGTATAATAATTGATACCAACCAACCCTAAACTCCCATTGAGCAGAACTTTGTCTTCTGCGGAAAAAGTGGGAAGCCTATCCTTCACCCTCTCCTTCATACTTTGAGGATAATCTCCGAATACTAATGGTCCCATAAACCTAATGCACAAATAGTAGCATTACTAACGAAAAAGCTTATCATAAAATGATTAAAACATGCAAGTTCTCATGATCATCAATGATCATGTGATCATGAAATGGAATGCTTCTACTTACCATCCGAGGTAGAAGTCAAAAAGTCGTCCTGCTGCAGCTTTATCTTCCTCTGATTGTGTATAGGGCAAAAAATATTGTGAAGCGAGGACGATTCCCAATTCACCCTTTTGTTGTTCCTAGAAGATGACATTCAAACTAATCTTTAGTGATAAGATTAAAAAGTTGAAACAATTGAATTTATATGAATTTCCTCGAGTCTTCAAGTCTCACTTGATATTTTTCTTTGTAGAGCTTAACCACAGTGGCATGGGCAAGGATAATGTTATGGGCTGCAGTGTAAGGCTCTGTTGACGAGTTACCACCAAACTTGCATGGACCGACAGTCTCGAAACATTTCACAGGAGACCCTAATGCACAAAGGGTTGATGGAAGTGAACACCTCCTGGTGGGGAAATCCCAAGTTCATAACCAAATTGAGCAAGAATGTTTGGCTCATTAATTGTGAACCAATGTTTAACTCTGTCTCCAAACTTTTTGAATAGAAGCTCGCTATAGTCTCTAAAGTCATTCCTGGAAAATCGACCATATCATTATTATACATTATGAGATTGATCTTATATTCTTTATTTATCTTATGAAGTTCATATTTTTCAATTCATGTTTACAAAATGACATATGCGTGCAAAATGGTTTTTTAAAAAGGCTTACACGAACGAGCGATTCAGTAAGCCTCCATACTTCTCTTCCAGGGCTAGTGGCATGTCAAAGTGATAAATCGTCACGAAAGGTGTGATGCCTGCGTTAGAACGCAGAAAATACATTAAGCCAAACGTGTACTTAATTCAACCATCCAAGTACATAAAAACTGGTAGCTTTCTCACCATTTTTTATTAGCTCATCGATCAAGCTATTGTAGTAATCAATACCCTCTTGGTTAATTCCGCCACTTAAGCTTCCCTCTGCGTAGGATCCATCAACACCCCATCAGTTTCTTATAAATGATTAAACAAATTTTAAAAAGAACAGAATAAAGAAGAAATGATTTTTACTTGGTAAAATCCTACTCCAGGAGATGGAAAATCTGTAAGAATTTAGTCCAGCGTCCTTGATAAGCTTAATATCCTCCTAAAATTCAGATTAGAGTATATTAGCTTAATTTTTTTTAAGAACAAACTGGATTTTTAAGGATGTTTTGACCTTTTGCTACTCGCCTTGTATCGTTTATATCCATCGACTGCCATGGGGAATTTTGTACTGTTTCGAAGTTTTTCTGTAATTGAAATTTGTTAGCTGATCATTATTCCGAATGGAAAAATTAGGAAGATAAGATAACTTATTAAGGTTATGTAAACCTGGGAGTGTTTCCATGCGATGATCCCAACCACTTGGTCCTCTCCCTCCTTCTTTAGCTGACCCTTCGCTCTGCGCTCAACATACATCGATTAATATAACAAAATCTATTTTAACAAAGAAATTTTGAGGCTATATATGCATAACTCATTTTACATGTACCTGTGCAGCAGAAGTGGCGGCTCCAAACAGAAAATCGGATGGAAAGTCTGATCGTTTAATTTTCAGTTCTTCAACAAGTTTAGGGTTGCTTAAATTTAACTGAAAGTTGAACCCACCCACTGTCACATTTGCTACAACTCCGTGAACATGATCCCCCACGGACGGATGTTCAGCTCCATTTAAATGTGCTAGTTCTGCAACAACATATCATTGCACGATGAACCACTTAAAATGACCATTAATCGAAAACCTGCGAAAATGTAGAACAAGATGAAGAAAATGAAAAGGGTTAGGGATGAATGTTTACCTAGGCCTCGACCTTCCACAGATGAACAGGCTAGCAAAGTGATGAGACAAATGGCAATGAGACCACGAGCCATCTTTGTCAACGAAGAAGATGATGATATTTGAGATGTCCATAGCCACCTTTTATATTGGCAAGCAATAGGATGCTCAGAAACTAACCAGAAGCAAGTTTTGGTTTGGACAGAGGATAGTTTGAAGGCTAAACATAAAGTAGCTTCAACCGTTTGAATTTGTTTTTAGATGGTCGGTTTCAGCCTGCCAAAAATACGGAAGTAACCCAAAAACAGAAAGAAGGAATACCGCCCGGGAAAATTCTTTTCAACAAAAAGCACTCTAGAAGATTTTATAGCAATAAGGGCGGAAAACACAAACACCATATATATTCATACTTTGATTAATAAATATTTCACGAAGGGTCCCATATTTGTAGCTAATATTGTGGTAATGTTTAAAAACCAAATAGTGTTTAGTATTGTTCGTTTACGGTCTACAAAATGTGGTTATTATTCTTAGCATTTGCCTTTGTTGAAATCATAAATGTTTGGGATAAAAACCCTTATTATTATTATTATTATATCTTGGAACCGATTAACATTATGATTTAGTGATATTATTCTTTTTGATAAGCGAGAGAGATCTTAATTATATACGAATGGTTAATCGAGAAATTGAGGTTGACGCAGCAATGGAAGGGCTTATTTATGATATATGGTCCCTTGCTAGTTCTGTTGAGTCTGTTGTGTTTGATTTTACCCATAGGGTGAACAACTGTGCAGCACATGAAGTAGCAGCTTCCATCTCAAAGATTGGTGGTAACCATAAATGGAATTGTATAGAACCCGAATTTTTTTTCAATATTTTTGCAAAAGATGTAAACTTATCTATTAGAATCTAATAAAATCTATCATTTGACAAAAAAAAAAAAAATGACGAGTTCAAAACCAATTTATTCTCACTCTCTTAATGCAATTATATTATTGTATAAAAAAATTTGTGAAAGAAGAATTAGAACTTGGATGCGTAGAAGGAGCACCTACTCTCTAGCCAAGGAAGCTATGCCAATGCCATGTCAGCTCAACGCCCCTTTAAAATTCACGAACGGTCATAATAACAATCCATCCGAGATATCTAATAATACTTAAGGGTGGATACAGTTTGTAGTGCCGTCTGCGGATAGAAAGATATGGGAAGTTCATTGCTCTCTGTATCAAATTATGTTGAAAAATAGTTAAAAATAAATGTGTTCATTTATTTGGAATGATGTTGGTTCAAGTTTTCAATTCAATAATTGTTTGGTCATGTGTTCATTTGTGGTTGGAGAGTATTCATTTTAGTAAGACTTGCTATTTTTCTTTCAGTGGCCAATCATTATTCCCAAAAAATTGAATGGCTAGATTTAATCAATAAATCTAACTGCTAAATCAACAAAAAATAAAAAATTATGGGGCTACAAATCCCGGGTATTCAATGGCACGGGACATTATAGCCATTTTATCAATCTAATAATATGGTAATGTCTTGGATTGTAGTAAGTAGTCAGAAAAGTAAGCTAACACGTTTAGGTGTTCTAGATGGGTCATTTGTCTTGAGGATAAAGCTGAGGAAACTTGGACTCCGGACTGTTAAAAATTTGATCAGGTAACAAAAAATGAGTTCTTTGGAAGGCATAGGAGCCGTTCTTTCAATTTTTAAATGCGGAGTATTGACGGCCTGGAAAAGAACAATGGCTGGCTGTTGGAAGAAGAATGGCAAGACATGTTGAAAAATCAATTAAAAATGAATGTGTTTTTTTATTTGGAGTGATGTTAGTTCAAGTTTTCAATTCAATAATTGTTTGGTCAAGTGTTCGTGAATGATAACTTATTCATTTTAGCAAGACTTGCTGCTCTTCTTTCAACGGCCAAGCTTTATTAAAAAAAAATGAATGGCTAGATTTAATTACTAAACCTAATTGATAACACCAAAAAAAACAAAAAAAACAAAAAAAAAAAGAGAGTAATGCTAGAGAGACTAAATCTGTAGATAAAATTTTGAAAACTAAAAGACATGGAAGTTAATGATTGGTTTATTACTTACAAGTTGATGCATGTGCTTATTTTTATTAGTAACACATAATTTAGTTTGCAAATTTAATTTCCAAATTTAATCTCTCTAACATTACTATAGATAAAAATTATGCGGCTACAAATCCGTGATCATGACCTTTTATTGTATATCGTGTGGTCAGTTTTCATAGGTACTATTTATATTTAATTTTAAATTTTAAATAATTTCTAATTACACGATATACGATGAACTATCATGATAATATGATAATAGGATTCCCCAAATCATTTTCCAGTCAATAGCACGCGACATTGTAGCCATTTTATCAAATCTAATACTGCGGCAATGTCTTTGGATTGTAGTAAGTAGTCAGAAAAGTAAGCTAACAATCAGAAGCTAACACGTTTAGGTGTGGGGTCATTTTTCTTGAGGATAAAGATGAGGAAACTTTGGACTCCGGACTCTTGAAAATTTGATCGGTTGACAAAATATGAGTTCTTTGGAAGGCATGGTAGCCATTCTTTCAAGCCTTCTGTGTGTATTTCTTGTCTTTGTTCTCATCAATATCTTACACAAACTATGGTGGACTCCGACTCGGATACAAAAGATGATGAAAGCGCAGGGGATCAAAGGTCCTCCTTACAGACTTATCCATGGAAACACAAAAGAAATATCCGACATGAAAAAGGAAGTCATGCGCAGGCCCAAGAATTTATCTCACGACATAGTTTCTGGAGTTGTACCTCACATACACTCTTGGTCACAGATATATGGTAACAACTAACAAGCTATGTCTCACTTTTAGTTAACTGTTGTTTTTCAAATTGTTCCGACATAAATTTTGGTCATTTTTTTGTACGAAATTGTAGGGAAGAAATATCTTCAGTGGCATGGTTCTCTTGCACAATTGGTCATTACGGAACCTGAGTTATGCAAAGAGATAATGAGTAACAAGGATAAAGCTTATCCGAAAAGAGAGCCCGATACCTTTGCGAAGAAGCTATTAGGAGATGGCCTTGTCACAACAACTGAAGGTGAAAAATGGGGAAAAATGAGAAAGCTTGCTACCCATGCCTTCAATGGAGAATGTTTAAAAGTAAGTTTTTTACAGTTACTGTGGTAAAGATTGCTGAAGCTAAATTTGTTGATAGCATGACAGTATTATTTGTCTAGAGTATGTTTCCAGATATGGTAGCTAGTGCTGAGACGATGCTTGAAAGGTGGAGAAATTATGAAGAAAAAGAAATTGAGGTGTTTGAAGAGTTCAGGTTGTTCACTTCAGAAGTGATTTCGAGAACAGCATTTGGCAGCAGCTATTTAGAAGGACAGAACATTTTTGAGATGATGATGAAGTTAGCCTTCCTACTTTCTAAAAACGCCCTCACAGTCAGGATTCCTGGCATCAGGTAATCTCGGTTCATTCCACAAATATTCTTGGAGTGTTACTTGTGTTCTCATGGTTGTTAGTCTTTTGCTTAATGTTGCAGTAAAATTTTCAAAACTAGTGACGAGATCGAAGCAGAAAAACTTGAGAAAGGTGTATATGCCTCCATAATGGATATCGCTAAGAAAAGAGAAAAGACGGCAATGAGTGGAGATGAGGACGGCTTTGGGAGTGATTTTTTTGGATTACTTTTGAAGGCTCGTCATGATGCCAATGACGGCCAGAGGATTTCGGTGGATGATTTGGTTGACGAGTGCAAGACTTTTTACATTGCTGGACAAGAAACCACCAATACTTTGCTTGCTTGGACCGTCTTTCTTCTAGCACTCCATACGAATTGGCAAGAGGAAGCAAGAAAGGAGGTCATGGAATTATTTGGGAAACAAACTCCAAATCTCGATGGCATTACCAAACTGAAAACAGTAAGAAAGTCAACCACTAATTAATCAACTGCTTATCTTAAGTGGCAAAATTAAGATTGGAAGTAATCTTGATTTGGCATCCATTTTTCGTGTTCATGCAGATGAGTATGATCTTCAATGAGTCTCTAAGGTTATATCCCCCTGTTGCTGGCTTTGCAAGGAAAGTTGGAAGGGAAGTTAGACTGGGAAATGTCATTGTTCCTGCTAATGTTGCATTAGTTATCTCAAATCTGTCATTTCACCACGATCCTCGAATCTGGGGACAGGACGCACAACTTTTCAAACCAGAGAGATTTGCTGAAGGGGTTGCTAAAGCAACTGACAATAACATAGGTGCATTTGTGCCGTTTGGAATAGGACCTCGAAGTTGTGTGGGCTTAAACTTTGCAATCAATGAAGCAAAGATTGCTGTGTCAATGATTCTACAACGCTACTCCTTCACTCTATCCCCAGGTTATGTTCACTCGCCCATTCAGTATGTGACAGTTCGTCCACAACACGGAGTTCAGGTAATGCTTCACCCACTTTGAACTGCAAAGGCGAATGTGGTGAATGAATCTTTCCAAGTATCATCTAATCAGCTACTGATTTTATGTATTAGTCAATTATCATTTCATCTTTTTCAAGATATTATTCTGCTTACTTTGGCAGCACTTTTGGATAATCTGTCACAAGTTTTTGTTTTTTCTTTTGGTTTGTTATAAAGAATCCAACTAGAAAATGCAAACGTAACCGACCGATGATTAGGAATTGTTTATGTGGAATATGGAAGGGGCCGACAAACAGCCTATATAAAACTAAACATCAATATTGACGTCTCAATCTCAACTACAAGTCCATAAAACCTGTCCGATGTGGGACTCCAATTTTGCCTCAATCAAAACCACACCAACAAACTCCACCTGGAGTCATTCGAGCCATCTCCAAATTCACGTCCACAATCCAAATTTAAATAGAGCTATATGATACCAAATTTCAAATGAGTTCTCCAACTTCAAATATCGTGAGGGTCACCCAATCCCAAACGTTGTCTAGAACCATTCCTTATAAAGCACTTGATGCTCTCCTCACCCACCGATGTGGGGCTCCAATTTTGGCTCAATCAAAGCCACACTAACACGTCATGAGTAAGATATGATTATGATGGGCCGCCATCCAATACGTGTTACTGAACTAGTGAATGTGAAAATTTGAATCCTTTTACTGTGGAAATTATGATTGTCGTCCATACGTGCTTAGGGTTTAGAGTAAGACTAGAAATTTGTACCCATACGTTGCTGCAGGATTGAAAACTGTATGAAAGATTACGTGTGCAAGATATAAAAGTTGTGTTGCAAAACATTAATACTATTTACATTGAAAACATTTGGTAGATTGTTATATACAAAAGTACAAAAGTTTTTATCGACACATTCCTCAAGTTGCTCCTTTGGAGCTCTCAAGACCATGGTTTAAATCCCTGCTCTAGCTCTCTTCTTGAGGTCTGATCACACAATCTTGCATGTCTGAACTTAGTATATATACAAGGATTAACCGAAGCATAAGAAATCGAACCATTTTCAGAAATGTAGAGTTTTGGATTTTGATAATTATCCTTTACGTACTCCAACAGCTTCTGCAGCCCTTCCGGCCAATGACTATCGGTCTGCACCATAAGGAAAAATTTAACCACACACTTTCCTCAAACAAAGACAACACCGATGTTTCATTTCTTACAAAACTAGCAAGAACATAGAATCTTAAAAAATTTCTTACCACACCAAGAATTTCTTCATCTTTGATAGCTGAAACAATCAAAACACGATCAACATGACGGAATATTAAAACTATTCTTGATGTTTGATTTTTCTTTTGTCCTTATGGCTCTAGAGAGCAAGATATCTTACGTATTGTTTCCGCCCATTGATCGAAGGAATAACGCAACGCCTCACCTGGAGGAGGAGCCTTATGTTTGGCATATGTTGATGTATAATAATTGATACCAACCGACCCTAAACTCCCATTGAGCAGAACTTTCTCTTCTGCAGAAAAAATGGGAAGCCTATCCTTCACCCTCTCCTTCATACTTTGAGGATAATCTCCGAATACTAATGGTCCCATAAACCTAATGCACAAATAGTAGCATTACTAACGAAAAAGCTTATCATAAAATGATTAAAACATGCAAGTTCTCATGATCATCAATGATCATGTGATCATGAAATGGAATGCTTCTAATCCGAGGTAGAAGTCAAAAAGTCGTCCTGCTGCGGCTTTATCTTCCTCTGATTGTGTATAGGGCAAAAAATATTGTGAAGCGAGGACGATTCCCAATTCACCCTTTTGTTGTTCCTAGAAGATGACATTCAAACTAATCTTTAGTGATAAGATTAAAAAGTTGAAACAATTGAATTTATATGAATTTCCTCGAGTCTTCAAGTCTCACTTGATATTTTTCTTTGTAGAGCTTAACCACAGTGGCATGGGCAAGGATAATGTTATGGGCTGCAGTGTAAGGTTCTGTTGACGAGTTACCACCAAACTTGCATGGACCGACAGTCTCAAAACATTTCACAGGAGACCCTAATGCACAAAGGGTTGATGGAAGTGAACACCTCCCTGGTGGGGAAATCCCAAGTTCATAACCAAATTGAGCAAGAATGTTTGGCTCATTAATTGTGAACCAATGTTTAACTCTGTCTCCAAACTTTTTGAATAAAAGCTCGCTATAGTGTCGAAAGTCATTCCTGGAAAATCGACCATATCATTATTATACATTATGAGATTGATCTTATATTCTTTATTTATCTAATGAAGTTCATATTTTTCAATTCTTGTTTACAAAATGACATATGCGTGAATGTATTCAATCTAATGAAGTTCATATTTATCTAATGAAGTTCATATTTATGAGATTGATCTCATACTTTCATGAGTTATTGTAATTCCTCTTCACCAGATACAGAAGAGTGATTCGTCAATGTATTCAATCTTTACATATGTAACACTTTTAACAAAATCCATTGACTAATCATTAAAACATGGCATGTAGGTGGAATTATAAAAAAGTGAATTCAGGATGAATAAATCTAGTAATTTCTATATAAAACCGCATCAAGGTATGTAAAAAAAAATCTGTGTGAACAAACAAATATCCAACTGTACCGAGACTTAAATCATGCTCAAACCAATTCGGTCAGTTTGAGAAATAGTGTTAGTTATTTTGTTTAGTTTTAGAAATAATGTTTATTTTGTTCTCTTCTAGAAATAATGTGAGTTATTATATATGGTTGAGTTTCAAGAATAATGTGAGTTATTTTGCTATTATTTTAGAAATAGTATGAGTTATTTTGTTGTTGTTTCAAAAATAGTATGAGTTATTTTGGTTAAGTTTCAGAAAGAGTGAGTTATTTGCAATAGTTCCAAAATAGTGTTTATTTTGAGTCTTCATCATCTTAGCAACTTCACCTGCAACCTATCACCTACCTAATCCTAGATTGAGATTGGTGAGATAGAGGTATAAACATACATGCTTGTTCAAGGAAATTCAAACCCAGACTTAACGTCTGAAACGAAAAACAAACCAATAATTTGTACTGGAGGTGGAATAGATACAAACATAATACCGATTACAGCCATGGCGCGCCAGGATATGGCGTTTCCAATAGCATAGAATAGTGAAAACCCACAGCTAAGTAACAACTGTGCACTTACTGAAATTTAGGGTAGTAATTAGAGAAGATGTAAGATTGGGAAGCACAGATAGTATTGTGTTGCACATTATCTTCCACAAGGCTTTCATTATCGTTGGACCAGATTGCAGTGACATTGATCAGTAGGTTGGGGGGTTTATGATAATTATAGTCCTGCTTTATTCGTGTTTTAATATCTAGTTACTGGAGATTGTTTGGTCAGAAGACCCTAGCTGTTTGATTCGACTGCGTGCACAAGCGAGAATTTACATGACCGATTCTCCATTTATATGCAGTTAGGCATAGCAGCAGATGATTTATGGGCAAAAGAAGTAGAATCAAATGAACCTTTGTATTTCTCGACATAAAATGAAAGTTTGTGTGCCCTTTGCAGTACTGATTAAATTATTCGTAGCATACATGGTTTATTTGAAGCACAAATGAAGAGCCTTATTTTTATAGGGAAACATAGATTACAACAAGAAAACCAAAGGGATAATGGCTTTACATTGCTAAATATTAAGTTTGAACAACTGATTACTCAGGCAGCTATAGCAGGATCTCAGCCTTGAAGGAAAGCTCGGAACCACTTAACGGAGAGCTTGGGGTAGCGCGTGTAGTTACTGAAATCAACAAAGTAAATACCAACTCGATTGAACCCCATGCCCCATTCAATGTCGTCGAATAGAGCCCAATAGAAGTACCCTTTGACATTCACTCCATTCCTGCAATAATTTTTGTTAAGAATGAGACAATATATTTGTTTCAGTGTCAAATAAAAATATATATCATCACTTACTTAATTGCCTTATTGATTCGACACAAGTGACGAGTAACAAAGGAAATTCGATATGGATCCTCTAGAAGTACTTCAAGTGGAGAGCCCTTGTCCTTGTGATCAGAAAGTCCTACAAAGAAAAGGTGTAGAAGATATGTCATCCTTTTTTATTTTTGTTATGCATATTTTGGTTAACAGTATATATACAAGGATTAACCCAAGCGTAAGAAATCGAACCATTTTCAGAAATGTAGAGTTTTGGATTTTGATATTTATCCTTTACGTACTCCAACAGCTTCTGCAGGCCTTCCGGCCAATGACTATCGGTCTGCACCATAAGGAAAAATTAAACCACACACTTTCCTCAAACAAAGACAATACCGATGTTTCGTTTCTTACAAAACTAGCAAGAACATAGAATCTTAAAAAATTTCTTACCACACCCAGAATTTCTTCATCTTTGATAGCTGAAACAATCAAAACACGATCAACATGACGGAATATTAAAACTATGCTTGATGTTTGATTTGTCATTTGTCCTTATGGCTCTAGAGAGCAAGATATCTTACCTATTGTTTCGGCCCATTGATCGAAGGAATAACGCAACGCCTCACCTGGAGGAGGAGCCTTATGTTTGGCATATGTTGATGTATAATAATTGATACCAACCAACCCTACACTCCCATTGAGCAGAACTTTGTCTTCTGCGGAAAAAGTGGGAAGCCTATCCTTCACCCTCTCCTTCATACTTTCAGGATAATCTCCGAATACTAATGGTCCCATAAACCTAACGCACAAATAGTAGCATTACAAACGAAAAAGCTTATCATAAAATGATTAAAACATGCAAGTTCTCATTATCATCAATGATCATGTGATCATGAAATGGAATGCTTCTACTTACCATCCGAGGTAGAAGTCAAAAAGTCGTCCTGCTGCGGCTTTATCTTCCTCTGATTGTGTATAGGGCAAAAAATATTGTGAAGCGAGGACGATTCCCAATTCACCCTTTTGTTGTTCCTAGAAGATGACATTCAAACTAATCTTTAGTGATAAGATTAAAAAGTTGAAACAATTGAATTTATATGAATTTCCTCGAGTCTTCAAGTCTCACTTGATATTTTTCTTTGTAGAGCTTAACCACAGTGGCATGGGCAAGGATAATGTTATGGGCTGCAGTGTAAGGCTCTGTTGACGAGTTGCCACCAAACTTGCACGGGCCGACAGTCTCGAAACATTTCACAGGAGACCCTAATGCACAAAGGGTTGATGGAAGTGAACACCTCCCTGGTGGGGAAATCCCAAGTTCATAACCAAATTGAGCAAGAATGTTTGGCTCATTAATTGTGAACCAATGTTTAACTCTGTCTCCAAACTTTTTGAATAGAAGCTCGCTATAGTCTCTAAAGTCATTCCTGGAAAATCGACCATATCATTATTATACATTATGAGATTGATCTTATATTCTTTATTTATCTTATGAAGCTCATATTTTTCAATTCATGTTTACAAAATGACATATGCGTGCAAAATGGTTTTTTAAAAAGGCTTACACGAACGAGCGATTCAGTAAGCCTCCATACTTCTCTTCCAGGGCTAGTGGCATGTCAAAGTGATAAATCGTCACGAAAGGTGTGATGCCTGCGTTAGAACGCAGAAAATACATTAAGCCAAACGCATACTTAATTCAACCATCCAAGTACATAAAAACTGGTAGCTTTCTCACCATTTTTTATTAGCTCATCGATCAAGCTATTGTAGTAATCAATACCCTCTTGGTTAATTCCGCCACTTAAGCTTCCCTCTGCGTAGGATCCATCAACACCCCATCAGTTTCTTATAAATGATTAAACAAATTTTAAAAAGAACAGAATAAAGAAGAAATGATTTTTACTTGGTAAAATCCTACTCCAGGAGATGGAAAATCTGTAAGAATTTAGTCCAGCGTCCTTGATAAGCTTAATATCCTCCTAAAATTCAGATTAGAGTATATTAGCTTAATTTTTTTTAAGAACAAACTGGATTTTTAATGATGTTTTGACCTTTTGCTACTCGCCTTGTATCGTTTATATCCATCGACTGCCATAGGGAACTTTGTACTGTTTCGAAGTTTTTCTGTAATTGAATTTTGTTGGCTGATCATTATTCCGAATGGAAAAATTATGAAGATAAGATAACTTATTAAGGTTATGTAAACCTGGGAGTGTTTCCATGCGATGATCCCAACCACTTGGTCCTCTCCCTCCTTCTTTAGCTGACCCTTCGCTCTGCGCTCAACATTCATCGATTAATATAACAAAATCTATTTTAACAAAGAAATTTTGAGGCTATATATGCATAACTCATTTTACATGTACCTGTGCAGCAGAAGTGGCGGCTCCAAACAGAAAATCGGATGGAAAGTCTGATCGTTTAATTTTCAGTTCTTCAACAAGTTTAGGGTTGCTTAAATTTAACTGAAGGTTGAACCCACCCACTGTCACATTTGCTACAACTCCGTGAACATGATCCCCCACGGACTGATGTTCAGCTCCATTTAAATGTGCTAGTTCTGCAACAACATATCATTGCACGATGAACCACTTAAAATGACCATAAATCGAAAACCTGCGAAAATGTAGAACAAGATGAAGAAAATGAAAAGGGTTAGGGATGAATGTTTACCTAGGCCTCGACCTTCCACAGATGAACAGGCTAGCAAAGTGATGAGACAAATGGCAATGAGACCACGAGCCATCTTTGTCAACGAAGAAGATGATGATATTTGAGATGTCCATAGCCACCTTTTATATTGGCAAGCAATAGGATGCTCAGAAACTAACCAGAAGCAAGTTTTGGTTTGGACAGAGGATAGTTTGAAGGCTAAACATAAAGTAGCTTCAACTGTTTGAATTTGTTTTTAGATGCTCGGTTTCAGCCTGCCAAAAATACGGAAGTAACCCAAAAACAGAAAGAAGGAATACCGCCCGGGAAAATTCTTTTCAACAAAAAGTACTCTAGAAGATTTTATTGCAATAAGGGCGGAAAACTCAAACTCCATATATATTCATACTTTGATTAATAAATATTTCACGACTGGTCCAATATTTGTAGCTAATATTGTGGTAATGTTTAAAAACCAAATAGTGTTTAGTATTTTTCTTTTAGAGTGCGTTTGTTTGGGCTCATTAGCTTTCATCGGACTGGACTGAACTACACGTTAGTGTAGTCCTGTGTTTGTTACTTAAACGGACTAACTTTAATGGGATAAAGCCAGATTCGCGTGGACTATCTCCATCACTAGGAGGTCTTAGCGAGACCCCCAAATACCATGGAATTGCTAAAACCTGACCTGCTCGCTTTGCCAACATCACCTACACCCACCAACCTAGAACTGCAGAGAACCTAGAATCCAGAATCAAGTCATCTCGTTTCGAATCATGGAGAACCCAGAATCGCCAGATCTTCCTCTGCTCGTTTCGAATCGCGGAGAACCCAGATCTTCGTCTGATGAGCTTGGTTGTTCCCTTCTCTCTCTAGAAATGGACGGTTTCTATCTCTTCCTCACCACCAACACTACCCGTTTCTTTCTCACTTGCACTCGTTTTCTTCCTTCACTTTCTTGCACAACCCCTCTAAGGCTCAAGAAATGGGTTGTTTTCAGTTCCAGAGAGGAGCCAAAGCTCACCCTTTGGACCAAATGGAGCTCAAGTTCGTCGATTTGCAGATCCGATGATCGACAAAGCCTCTACAAATTGAAAAAAAAAATGGTAATTTTTCTATGTTTGATTTGAAGAGAAAAGTAAATTAAAAGAAGATAAATATGAGTTTGAATTCAAGAGAAAGCAAATGAAAAGAAGAGAAGATATGGATTTTATTTTTTCTGGTTTGAGTTTAGCAAATCTGGGCGTGAAGAACCAAAGTAAATGAACGAAGAAAATAGAGAGACAGGGGAGAGAGAGTCCAATAAAAATAGGTGTAATTTGTTTATTTTTTTTTAAGATAAAAACAGTGTATTAATAATTGTAAAATATTTTAGTCCGTGATTTAGTCCGATAGTATACCAAACACTTCACTATTCTTATTCAGCTTAGTCTAAGCCAAGACAGTTAGTTCAGTTCGAAATAGTTCGGTGCAACAAACGCACCCTTACCGTCTACAAAATGTGGTCATAATTCTAAGCATTTGCCTTTGTTGAAATCATAAATGTTTGGGATAAAAACCATTATTATTATTATTATTATTATTATTATTATTATTATTATATTTTAGAGCCTTTTAGTACTACAATTTAATGATATTATTCTTTTTTTGTAAGTGAGAGATCTTAATTATATACAAATGGTTAATCGAAAAATTGAAGTTGACGCGGCAATGGGAGGGCTTATTTATGATACATGGTCCCTTGCTAATTCTGTTGAGTCTGTTGTTTGATTTTACTCATAGGGTGAACAACCGTGCGGCACATGAAGTAGCAACTTCCGTCTCAATGATTGGTGGTGATCATAAATGGAATTGTATAGGACCCGAAATTTTTTTTCAATATTTTTACGAAAGATGTAAACTTATCTATTAGAATCTAACTAAAATTTATTATTTGACAAAAAAAATATGACGAGTTCAAAATCAATTTATTCTCACTCTCTTAATGCAATTATATTATTATATAAAACAAATTGCATGCGTAGAAAGAGCACCTACTCTCTAGCCAAGGAAGCTATGTCAATGCCATGTCAGCTCAACGCCATTTAAAATGGACAAGGATTGTCCAACCTTTCATTTTTCGTGTCCTTCTATTTTGTATGGTCACGGTTAAGTCAGGTCAACATTTTATATTATTTTTTTATAAAGATAATAATATAAAAATGAATAGTAATATAAAATGTTGACGTAGTGATTACATAAACAAAAAGTCACGGAAAGTAATAATGCAGACAATCATTGTCCCTTTAAAATTCACAAACGGTCATCATAACAATCTTATCCATTCGAGATATCTAATAATATTTAAGGGTGGATACAGTTTGTAGTGCCGTCTGCGGATACAAAGATATGGGAAGTTCATTGCTCTCTCTTTTTGTAAAGGAAGTTCAATTTTTAACAATGTGTAGCATTGATTACCATTAAAAAATAAAAATAAAAAACAATACCTGGTTGTTGAAACACGAGTATCAAATTATGTTGAAAAATAGTTCAAAGTAAATATGTGTTCATTTGTTTGGAGTGATGTTGGTTTAAGTTTTCAATTGTTTGGTCATATGTTCATTTGTGATTGGAAACTATTCATTTTAGTAGGACTTATTACTCTTCTTTCAATAATCAATCATTATTCCTAAAAAAATGAATGGCTAGATTTAATCAATAAATCCAATTGCTACAACAACAAAAAATAAAAAATTATGCGGCTACAAATCCCGGGTATTCAATAGCAAGGGACATTATAGCCATTTTATCAATCTAATAATATAGCAAGAGAATTGTTATTGGCACTCCAAAAATCTCATTCTACACTCTAAACTTTCTATATTTGGAAAGAAAAATACATTTGTAAGAAGTGTAGAATGAGATTTTTAGAGTGCCAATAATACTTTCCTATGACAATGTCTTTGGATTGTAGTAAGTAGTCAAAAAAGTAAGCTAACACGTTTAGGTGTTCTAGATGGGTCATTTGTCTTGAGCATAAAGCTGAGGAAACTTTGGACTCCGGACGGCTGAAAATTTGATAAGTTAACAAAAAATGAGTTCTTTGGGAGGCATAATAGCGATTCTTTCAATTTTTAAATGCGGAGTATTGACGGTCCGGAAAAGAACAATGATTGACTGTTGGAAGAAGAATAGTAAAATATGTTGAAAAATCAATTAAAAATGAATGTGTTCTTTTATTTGGTGTGATGTTAGTTCAAGTTTTCAATTCAATAATTGTTTGGTTACGTGTTCATTTGTGATTGAGAACTTATTCATTTTAGCAAGACTTACTACTCTTCTTTCAACGGCATTCTCAAAAAAAATGAATGGCTAAATTTAATCAATAAATCTAACTGCTACAACAACAAAAAATAAAAAATTATGCGGCTACAAATCTTGGGTATTCAATAGCACGGGACATTATAGCCATTTTATCAATCTAATAATATGGCAAGAGAATTGTTATTGGTACTCCAAAAATCTCATTCTACACTCTAAACTTTCTATATTTGGAAAGAAAAATACACTTATAAGAAGTGTATAATGAGATTTTTGGAATGCCAATAACACTTACCTATGGCAATGTCTTTGGATTGTAGGAAGTCGTCACATAAGTAAGCAAACACGTTTAGGTGTTCTAGACGGGTCATCTGTCTTGAGCATAAAGCTGAGGAATCTTTGGACTCCGGACGGCTGAAATTTTGATGAGTTAACAAAAAATGAGTTCTTTGGGAGGCATAATAGCCATTCTTTCAATTTTTAAATGCAGAGTATTGACGATCCAGAAAAGAACAATGATTGGCTGTTGGAAGAAGAATAGTAAGACGTGTTGAAAAATCAATTAAAAATGAATGTGCTCTTTTATTTGGAGTGATGTTAGTTCAAGTTTTCAATTCAATAATTGTTTGGTCACGTGTTCATTTGTGATTGAGAACTTATTCATTTTAGCAAGATTTGTTGCTCTTCTTTCAGCGGCCAAGCCTTATTCCAAAAAAAAAATGAATGGCTAAATTTAATCACTAAATCTAATTGATAACACAAAAAAAACAAAAAAAAAAAAAAAAAAAAAAGAAGAAGAGTAATGCTAGAGAGACTAAATTTGTAAATAAAATTTTGAAAACTAAAAAAACATAAAAGTTGATGATTGGTTTATTACTTACACGTTAATATACATGCTTATTTTTATTGGCAATACATCATTTAGTTTGCAAATTTAGTCTTTCTAACACTAAAAAAAATTACAAGGCTGCAAACCCCCAGTATTCAATAGGACCAGATCCTTTTCCTGGGAATTCGGGGTATTTCGTGATCATGACCATTTATCGTACATTGTACATCGTGCGGTTAATTTTTATTAGGTATTATTTATATTTAATTTTAAATTTCAAATAATTTCTGGCCGTACGATACACGGTAAATGATGATGATCGTGAGATTCTCCGCATCATTTTCCAGTCAAAGCACGCGACATTGTGGCCATTTTGTTAAATCTAATACTGCGGCAATGTCTTTGGATTGTAGTGAGTAGTCAGAAAAGTAAGCTAACAATCAGAAGCTAACACGTTTAGGTGTGGGGTCATTTGTCTTGAGTATAAAGATGAGGAAACTTTGGACTCCGGACTGGAAAATTTGATCAGTTAATAAAAAATGAGTTCTTTGGGAGGCATGGTGGCCATTCTTTCAAGCCTTCTGTGTGTGTTTCTTGTCTTTGTCCTCATCAAGATCCTGCACAAACTATGGTGGACTCCGACTCGGATACAAAAGATGATGAAAGCGCAGGGGATCAAAGGTCCTCCTTACAGACTTATCCATGGAAACACAAAAGAAATATCCGACATGAAAAAGGAAGTCATGCGCAGGCCCAAGAATTTATCTCACGACATAGTTTCTGGAGTTGTACCTCACATACACTCTTGGTCACAGATATATGGTAACAACTAACAAGCTATGTCTCACTTTTAGTTAACTGTTGTTTTTCAAATTGTTCCGACGTAAATTTTGGTCATTTTTTTGTACGAAATTGTAGGGAAGAAATATCTTCAGTGGCATGGTTCTCTTGCACAGTTGGTCATTACGGAGGAACCTGAGTTATGCAAAGAGATAATGAGTAACAAGGATAAAGCTTACCCGAAAAGAGAGCCCGATACCTTTGTGAAGAAGCTATTAGGAGATGGCCTTGTGACAACAACTGAAGGTGAAAAATGGGGAAAAATGAGAAAGCTTGCTACCCATGCCTTCAATGGAGAATGTTTAAAAGTAAGTTTTTTACAGTTACTGTGGTAAAGATTGCTGAAGCTAAATTTGTTGATAGCATGACAGTATTATTTGTCTAGAGTATGTTTCCAGATATGGTAGCTAGTGCAGAGACGATGCTTGAAAGGTGGAGAAATTATGAAGAAAAAGAAATTGAGGTGTTTGAAGAGTTCAGGTTGTTCACTTCAGAAGTGATTTCGAGAACAGCATTTGGCAGCAGCTATTTAGAAGGACAGAACATTTTTGAGATGTTGATGAAGTTAGCCTTCCTACTTTCTAAAAACGCCCTCACAGTCAGGATTCCTGGCATCAGGTAAAATCTCGGTTCATTCCACAAATATTCTTGGAGTGTTACTTGTGTTCTCATGGTTGTTAGTCTTTTGCTCAATGTTGCAGTAAAATTTTCAAAACTAGTGACGAGATCGAAGCAGAAAAACTTAAGAAAGGTGTATATGCCTCCATAATGGATATCGCTAAGAAAAGAGAAAAGACGGCAATGAGTGGGGATGAGGACGGCTTTGGGAGTGATTTTTTTGGATTACTTTTGAAGGCTCGTCATGCTGCCAATGACGGCCAGAGGATTTCGGTGGATGATTTGGTTGACGAGTGCAAGACTTTTTACTTTGCTGGACAAGAAACCACCAATACTTTGCTTGCTTGGACCGTCTTTCTTCTAGCACTCCATACGAATTGGCAAGAGGAAGCAAGAAAGGAGGTCATAGAATTATTTGGGAAACAAACTCCAAATCTCGATGGCATTACCAAACTGAAAACAGTAAGAAAGTCAACCACTAATTAATCAACTGCTTATCTTAAGTGGCAAAACTAAGATTGGAAGTAATCTTGATTTGGTATCCATTTTTCGTGTTCATGCAGATGAGTATGATCTTCAATGAGTCTCTAAGGTTATATCCCCCTGTTGCTGGTTTTGTAAGGAAAGTTGAAAGGGAAGTTAGACTGGGAGATGTCATTGTTCCTGCTAATGTTGCATTAGTTATCTCAAATCTATCATTTCACCACGATCCTCGAATCTGGGGACAGGACGCACAACTTTTCAAACCAGAGAGATTTGCTGAAGGGGTTGCTAAAGCAACTAACAATAACATAGGTGCATTTGTGCCGTTTGGAATAGGACCTCGAAGTTGTGTGGGCTTAAACTTTGCAATCAATGAAGCAAAGATTGCTGTGTCAATGATTCTACAACGCTACTCCTTCACTCTATCCCCAGGTTATGTTCACTCGCCCATTCAGTATGTGACAGTTCGTCCACAACACGGAGTTCAGGTAATGCTTCACCCACTTTGAACTGCAAAGGCGAATGTGGTGCATGAATCTTGCAAAGTATCATCTAATCAGCTCCTGATTTTATGTATTAGTCAATTATCATTTCATCTTTTTGAAGATATTATTCTGCTTACTTTGGCAGCACTTTTGGATAATCTGTCCCAAGTTTTTGTTTTTTCTTTTGGTTTGTTATAAAGAATCCAACAAGAAAATGCAAACGTAACCGACCGATGATTAGGAATTATTTATGTGGAATATGGAAGGGGCCGACAAACAGCCTATATAAAACTAAACATCAATATTGACGTCTCAATCTCAACTACAAGTCTATAAAACCTGTCCGATGTGGGACTCCAATTTTGCCTCAATCAAAGCCACGCCAACAAACTCCACCTGAAGTGATTCGAGCCATCTCCAAATTGACGTCCACAATCCAAATTTAAATAGAGCTACACGATACCAAATTTCAAACAAGCTCTCCAACTTCAAATATCGTGAGCGTCACCAATCCTAAACGTTGTATGGACTTTGATACCAACTATTGTGTGGAAGCACACACATCTATAGATTGCCAACCGATGGGTTGCCAATGGGTCCCCCCCACACACACACAAGTTGAATTGCCAATATTTCGGTCACTTTAGCCACCCAAACGCAACGGATATGGGGTTTTGCCAAAAAGCCTCAGCAATGTATGTGTGTGGAACCATTCCTTATAAAGCACTTGATGCTCTCCTCGCCCACCGATGTGGGACTCCAATTTTGGCTCAACCAAAGCCACACCAACACGTCATGAGTAAGATATGATTATGATGGGCCGCCATCCAATACGTGTTATTGAACTAGTGAATGTGAAAATTTGAATCCTTTTATTGTGGAAATTATGATTGTCGTCCATACGTGCTTTGGGTTTAGGGTAAGACTAGAAATTTGTATCCATGCGTTGCTGCAAGATTGAAAACTGTATGAAAGATTACGTGTGCAAGATATAAAAGATTGTGTTGCAAAACATTAAGGGAATTGTTATTAGCACTCCAAAAATCTTATTCCACACGCCAAACTTTCTATATTAGGAAAGAAAAATACACTTGTGAGGAGTGTAGAATGAGAATTTTGAAGTGCCAATAACACTTCCCAACATTAATACTATTTACATTGAAAACATTTGGTAGATTGTTATATACAAAAGTACAAAAGTTTTTATTGACACATTCCTCAAGTTACTCCTTTGGAGCTCCCAAGACTATGCCTTGGTCTAAATCCCTGCTCTAGCTCTCTTCTTGAGGTTCGATCACACAATCTTGCAAGTTTGAACTTAGTGCCTATCAGAAAGTTTTCATAAATAACCACGTAAGCATAGGCCTAGGATCAGAGAGATGAGAGGGGTGGGGGAGGTTACAGGGTAATTCTTTTTAAAATAATATAAAACATGTAAAATTTGTAAAATTATGTACAATAAGCAATACTAGTTGCGTACATGTGGAATTTAGGAAGGGAATTATTGACCTTTTGTTCTTAATCAAAAACACTAATTCCAAAATACAATCTCAAGAACCCTTTCCAACCAGTTGAACACCAAGAAGAATGCTAATTCTAACATACAAATTCAATTTTTCTCCATGTTAAAAAGCATGCAAGCAGAGATAAAGGACGTAGTTCTATTATCGGTAGGATCAGCTTGCAAAGGCATATACACACTGTTCTGAATCATGGTTTCCATTGTAAGCATGCTTAGAGAATTGTAGCTGTGGGAGTAAAACAAAAAACCTTCTAAACTTAGAATTCATTGATATTCATCACGCAAACAGAGTGGCAACATAGACAATCAAGTTAATTAAATATGTTTTAGATAAAGTACCTGACTTGTGGCAGAAGTAAAAATTTTCCTCAAACGTCATGGCCACTTTCATGAGTTATTGTAATTCCTCTTCACCAGATACAGAAGAGTGACTCCTCAATGTATTCAATCTTTACATATGTAACACTTTTAACAAAATCCATTTTTCTAATCATTAAAACATGGCATGTAGGTGGAATTATACAAAAGTGAAGTCAGGATGAATAAATCCAGTAATTTCTATATAAAACCGCATCAAGGTATGCGCAAAAAATCTGTGTGAACAAACAAATATCCAACTGTACTGAGACTTAAATCATGCTCAAACCAATTCGGTCAGTTTGAGAAATAGTGTTAGTTATTTTGTTTAGTTTCAGAAATAATGTTTATTTTGTTCTCTTCTAGAAATAATGTGAGTTATTATATATGGTTTAGTTTCAAGAATAATGTGAGTTATTTTGCTGTTATTTTAGAAATAATATGAGTTATTTTGCTGTTGTTTCAGAAATAGTATGAGTTATTTTGGTTAAGTTTCAGAAAGAGTGAGTTATTTGCAATAGTTCCAAAATAGTGTTTATTTTGTTCCTGTCCATAAATATTGTGCGTTATTTTGGTTCTTCAGAAATAATGTGTAATTTTGCTGTATCCAGAAGTAGTGGGTTATTTTTGCTTAGTTTCAGAAATAGTATGTATTATTTTGCTGTAGTTCTATAAATAATGTAGGTTATTTTGGTTTAGTTTTAGAAATAATGTGGGTATTTTGCTGTCGTTTCAAAAAGAATGTTTATTTTGTTCTCTTTCTGAAACAATGTACGTTTTTTTGCTGTAGTTCTATAAATAACCCAAACTTTAAACTAGAAGTCATTTTTCAGGATTTATGAATGTCAACTCATGTTTCTTTTAAGTCGATTTCATGAAGACACTAATCTGATACATAGAAGTGTTTAAATGGTCCATGTCACTGCCACCTCAAAGTATAAGATGCTTTTGCATCCATAAGCAGTAGGTGAATCATATGTTTTGTCACTTATTATGTATAGTTAGATGATTAATAATGGACTCAAAGATTACCATATGTATGCATGTGTGTTTCTTGCACCTTCAGATGGTCAAGGGTAGCCATTTGATGCATAGTTTCAAAAGCTTGTAACCGAACAAGTATTGAGTCATCATTCAGTACATCTATTAACCAGTTTAAGGCTTCTCCAACAAACATGGCAGAGAGTATGGCCGGCGTCCTCAACGCATGACAGGCGACTTTTCGCACCTTCAGATTCACAAACAATTCGTAATTAGAAAGCATGCACATGACAAGGTTCCCTTGCAGAACGTAGACACTAAAAGTTCGCTCGTGAAATTCATCCTCAAGTCCATGCACGAAAGCTCCAGCAATGCGAATGGTGTTGTGCATTGTGCTGCGAGATACGGTCTTCATGGACAAGGTTTTGGATTTTGGACGGGCGTAGGGCCCCCATGGCTTATGGAGAGGTTATTAATTCGGAGTCTGTAGTAATCTAATGTTTGTGTTTTGCTCTATGTTGGCATGCTCGGCCTTTTTTTCCTTCCCTTGAGTTTTTCATACGTGCCATCCAGGTCAGGCTTTTTCAGAGGTCCTCCATTAGGCTTGCCTAGTCGTACTATAGTATGATTATGTTTGGCGTTCTTATCGCCCAAGTTATAATATATGATCCTCCTTCAAAAATAAAAAAATAAAAAATAATTCCCATGAGGAGTTAGCTTATTTTTTATAGGAACACTTTGGATGCAGTCTATAACTACCAATGTTCTTTGATTGAAACTTTTTGGTTTTTAGTTTTTGATCAAAATCCTTGATATTAATGCAATAATGTATTTCTATGTATGTTATTATATTTTTAAATTAAAAATGAAATTTGTAGTTATTTATATTAACGAGATTTTAAATAAAATCCATAATTATGGAATTAAAAATATTAAGGATGAATTATACTCTCCAATATATTGTATACACGCACACACACACACTATATGTATGTCCATCAAAACTAACCAAAAAATTATTGTACCAAAACATGGGTACATTTTTCAAAAGCACAAAAAAAAAAATGAAGATAGTAGGCTTAATAACATTATTAAATTTCTTTTATGAAATTTGACATGGATACACTAAAATATTGAGGAGTTTTGGATACTTAATCCAAGAATAAACTTCGTTAATTTCAGAAATCGGGACTGAATGAACTTCGTTAATTGGGTCCAAAATGTTTTCTTATCTTTCCAAAAACTGCAGATATATCGGCTCCAGAGGAGGTAGCATAACTCCAATTATGAATTATCCAAGAGGGTTGGAGTCAGATTGTTGCTCATGGGAGAGGCGGTAGGAGCTCACAACGAATGGCTGATTTCTCCATGGCATTGACTTTGGCATTCGAAAGTGGAGGAAAGCTCGGGACGGCGGATACATCTACCACGAGTTCAATGCTGGGATTTTTAAGTCAAACTGGGAGGGGAGCCGTGGAGCTCAGAAGATGGAAAGACGTTAAAAGCCAAAAAGCAACCCACCATTTCTTATAAAATTACAGTAAATGGAGTCTTTGTTAATAGGTGTTAGGTGTTGTGCCACAAAAAGTGTTATTAATTGTAATTAGCAAACCATTTGTCATATATTTTATTATACTTTTTTTGTTTGCACAAAGATGTTTAGGGTGAGAAGGCCATAAGAACATCTCTCAAGGTCATAAAAACATCTCTAAAGAAGATGTTAAAATGTTCAAATCAGTAATAACAGTAAAAATAAATAGATGCAATATTTTTCAATGAAAAGTTAAATTTGATGTGGTATGACATGGAATAGCAGGTTGTCAATTGTTAAATGTTTTTTTATTAATTTTTCTTATCAGATCTACAACTCTCATCTCCCCCTTGCTCGTCCTCCTCCTTCCCTTTTCTCAAAACCAAACCCAGAAACTAACTTCACGATCTCAACCTAAAACCCAAATGTAAGACTGCATTTCGAAAGATGTCAATCCTTGAAATGAAGCGTTTGGAGGAACTCGGATTAAAAACAAAGGCCTCTGGACCTTGGTCACCTCCTTCAATGGCATCCATGGTCACCCTTTTCGTCAACACCCCCTACCCCTCTCACTCTTTTCCCAAGCCGTCATCTGCCTATTTCGCCCCCGTCCTTAAGCTCTCAACCATCTTGGGTCCAAGCCCAGGACCCGCCAAAGGCTCCGAATTTCAAACGAGTTGAGGTTTGAGGTGTGAGGATGTGAAGGGCTGGGTGGCTGACCAGGCGTGGAGGAGCGAGTTGGCAAGTCGGACGCGATGGAAAATAAC